ATATTAAATATTATATCTGTTTCTTAATATATAATAAACTTATATGATGTGATTAAATAATATATTAATTAGCTTTTAAGAAATTTAATATATATATATATATATATGCATTAAATTTGTAATTTTCAATATTTATAACATTTATTAAAAGTATATATTATAAAATTTAATTGCATAATATATACATATATTATAGAATATATTTAAAAATTATAAAATTAAAAATCATAACTTGAATTTTTTATAAATTATTTAAATTTAAGTCATTAAAAACTTGTTATATATTTTAAATTTTTGTATAAGTAAAATTCACTATATTATAACATTAATGTAACATAAAATACTTTATATATTAAATATAATATATAATTAACATTAAATATTATATTCTCTTATCGAATAGTATTAAATTGAAATCGCACATCACGAGTCACGACTTCCTTCAACTAACGTCTTTTGTCTTTTACTCTCTTTTCTTTTTTCTCTTTTGTCTTTTACTTATTTTCCCTCCGAAGATTTTTAAAACTTCCCCTTCGTCAAAGAGGAACGAGGAGCAACTGAAGCCTTCTAGTTGTGTGTATATATTATTTTAAATAATCTAAAAAGCTATTACTTATTTATTTAATTTATCAGTTTAAAATTATTACTTGTTAAAATTATATTTTAAATTCTTTAAAAATAGAATTATACTAAATAATTTTATAATTCAAAAGTAAAAAAAATATAAAAGTTGATAATTTATATTATACTAAATTATTATAACAATTTTATTCAAGGCTCCAAAATTTTTTAAGACAACTTTACCTTCACGTGTAATCTGTCTCTTTGCCTACCAATAAACGAAGAGCACGACGGTACCGTGATTTAGGTGAAGCTAACAAAACTTGTACTATCTAATAAAATTTATTAGTTTTAATATTTAAATTAAGTTTAAGTATTATAAATATTTATTACAATTTTTTCTTATATTATAAATATAAAATATAATAAATATTTTTTATAAAAAAATATTACTTTAAATACTGAAAATTAATCTTAGAAATTAAAATTAACCAAAATATTATTTAATAGTTTGGTCCACATAGATGGGTGAGTTGGACCAAATTTCTATAATGTTGAGATTTTTTATGAGTTTTTAAAATTTTATGTACAAATACACGTTTGATTTTTTAAAAAATAGTTTTATAAAGAAGATTTTAAAAATAAGTAACTATTTTTTAGGAAAAAAAAACATTTAAACATGTGTTAAATAATTTGTTGTATAAGAAACTTTTTCCCCAAGCGCGCAAGTGATAAATCAAGTGGGTTTAACAGTAAAGTTTTATCATCATAAACTAAGGTCAAATATAATTTTCTTTAAAAAAATTGCTACATATTTACGTGGAAAAAAAATCCGAACATATATGTATTAATCATTTTGACAATAATTGAGGTTAATGAATATAAAAAAAATTGAACGTTAATATAGTTAAAACACTAAAAAAAAGTCGTCAATTAAATTATGTTCAATTATTATAAAAGCTTATATCTTTTTAAAATTTTGCAGGCAACTATTATAAAATAAATCTACCCAAATCACAGTCTTCTTGAATTATAGAATTAGAAAATATATTAATAATAAACATACTTATTACGATATTGCAAATTTGAAATGATATTTTATAATTTTTAAAATTAATAGATATTATTTTTATAATATATAAAAATATTAAATTATTAATTTTTTATTTATTAATATAAAATTAACAGTAATTATTTCATGTTTGTATCAAACTTTCTGAGTAGAGTAAATGTTATCAATAATAAATCTATATAAAAAAATAAATTTAAAGTTGTTCTAGAAGCAGTAGGCGGTTTGAGTGGTTAGAGTGAGAAACAGGTCAATCAGAATTCAACCATTGTCATCTTTTATCAGTTGGCAGCGTGGGAAAGCTTTTATTTCTTCTGGAAACATTAAGCCTCCACACTCAAGCCCTAGTTTAATTTTCTTCATGCAGAGCCGTGTTGTTTCTTCTTACTTGTACTCTGCTAGAACCATATTAGTGAAAATCCATTTTTTTTTAACTTCTGCAACATTAAATAATATTTTTATATAGAATATAATGTTTAATACTATTAATATATTTAATTATATTAAATTATTATTTTTTCAATAAAAATTATTATATATAACTTTTATTGTATATAATATTACGCATATTTTAAAATAATGTTAACAAAAATTCCACTTATACCATCCTTATGTACCTAATACATGGGGCGCTTCTTGAATAATCGCTAGCTCAAAGGCACGTTGGGAAAATAACTTTACAACTACAACTATGCATTGTTTGGCCACTACTGAACTCAGCTTCCTAAACGATAATATTTTATAATCAAATTAAAAATTTGTAAAAGAGATGACAATATTAATAAGAACAATGCCTTAAAATTAGCAAAATTAGGGTCTTTTGGGCTCTAACTAATGCGTAGTACACGAACACACATCGGCTAATTGTTTATAAATTTTACTATCATTGTAGCGACAATGTTTTCAGTTTAAATTTGTTATGAACAATATTAATTATTGATAAATGCTTTATACTATTATCAAAATATCTAATCATAATAGTAAATAAGTTCTGTAGTTTATCTTCAATCATTCATTTATCGCATAGAAATTAAATAAAAACATATAAAGTTTCAATGCATAATAATATAATACATGTAGATTGGTAAACATAATAATTTATTTCTTAACTTCTAAGCTTAATTATTGATTTATGTAAATTATTATGAATCATGTTAAATTCCAGTACATGCATTAAATTTTCTTATTTTTAATTTTTTATTCATAAAATTATTTTAAACTAACAAAATCAAATGCATGTTGATATGCTTTTGAAATTACTTAAAAAGCTATTATATATTAACAATTTATTCTTCAAGTTTTTTTTATTATTATACTTTTATTTTATATTTTTAATATCTCTGCGCATGTAAAATTCACTACATTGTAACATTAATGTAACGTTGAATATTTTATGTATCAGATATAATATATAAACAACCTCAATTATATGATTAAATAGTTTACATATATAATACATTTATTATTTTTATAAAATTTAATAAATATGATTAAATCTATAATATGTGTTGCATTGTTGCTACAATGACTAGTAGTAGACTAGATTCAAAGTATTATTAAATAGTTTGAAATATTTCACATGTTTAAATAGGCATTTATATGTTTAATTTATCTTATTTTAAAAATTATATTTTTTAGTGTTTTGTGATTTAAAAAAATAAAAAATTCCATTTATTTAATATTTTTGAATGAACATTCACTTTTTATCTTGAATAAAATAATTTTAAAATATTGAATGTATTTGTTTAAACTTTTGAAAAACGTAGATTATAAAAAAATTAAATATATAAATATTTTGATTAATTACTGAGTAGTTTTTGAAATAAATATATAAGATTATAAATAAATAAAATATACTTATAGTTTATATAATTTTTTAAAAAAAATCATTCACGTTTTTAATTTGTTAAAATTAAACAAACAATCCCTAATCTAAAATAAATATGAGTGAAAACTTATTTAAGGACATTATTAACCATCACTGAAAGAGTTAGGAATTTTTTATTATCAAGTAAGTTAAAAAGTATGCAGACTATTATTTTTAAAATATAATTTACTTTAATAAACTATCATAATGACATGTTTTATTTTTCACCATATCTATACTTAAAAAAAGTTGACAATTCACATAATTGACCAACATAAAAAATATGTATAATTTATTAAAAATATATAATTATACCTAGTAATTGGCATTATTATTCATTAAGTATGTATTCAATTTCCTTTCCCAAGGAGAAAGCTAATTAACACGTAATCCTTTTGTGCTTGAAGAGTGTTTTTCCCGCACGACATTATGATTAGGATTATGCTTTTCCTTTTCTGAGTGGTGGACAACACAGCATGACATTAGTAATTTGTTTTTCTCTGCAGGGATCACTTCTTTAGTCCTACTGCTATTTTATTTGCAACGAAATTTATAACCGATGAAGCCAACTTTCCTTTATATTTCATATATCTACGACTCCTTCTCTTAATAACTTTCTATAAATTTCACAAATTAAATATTAAATAAAAAATATATTTATTATCTTACCAATATAAAGATTTATTTAATAATTTAAAAACTATGAAAACAAAAAACAAAAAAGAATAAAATTATTCTTCGGAATATCTCTCATAACGTAGGACTGGAGTCCCAGCTACAAACACCCACGTGTATATCGATATGTATATGTATATCCAACCTTCATCAATGCTAGCACGTGTCCATATCAGCAGATTTCTCGTACTTATATATAAACAAATTCGAATATAATTGACATTACATTAACACGAAAATGGATGTCGTGCATCTCATTTCATTATTGTAATTATGAAATTAAAAGACAAAACAACAAAGCAAATCTCAGCAAAATTATTTGTCATTTTATTAAAATATGGAGTCTTCAAAGCAGAGCGAAGAGTGGGAGAGAGCACGCGTGTTGGTGAATATACATATCTTCTCGTTATCGTCTTAATAATCTTTAATATAGTATAAATATAAAATATATTTAATAACATGAGAAGATATATAAAAGAATTAAAAAATATTCTTTATATTATGATGATCATGAATAGGGTCAAAATAATATGGTGAAGTCACCTTTTCCAACTTTAATTAAATTTAGAGGACATATAGAATAATAAATTAGGCTAACACGTTCGGCGGTTTCAATTTGATACTTATCTTTAATAATACAAGTTAATTAGTTTTCCCAATTCGGTGTGCTACGAAAAAGTCCACCTGCTTCTGATGCTCACAGTTTCCTACACAGCTACAAAATCTCGTTCTCGTGTCTCGCAAAACAATCTTCTTATCCACCCTTTTAATAACAACATAAATTTCTCAAAAACTCACTACCAAGTTCAAGTAAGAACCATACATTAGCAACAGAAAATTAATGATGAAGAGGAAGGGACAGAGGCAGAGCGTGTTGGTGAGGATCATGGGTTCGCCAATAAGGGCTTTGGGGAAAGCGAGGGACATGTACGTGCGAAGCATAACCAACTGTGGTCAAAACATGAGCTATGGAAACCCCATGGACAGTGCTGGCAGATTCTCGGCGTTGTCGAGAAGCCACAGCGCAGCCACGTCGAGGTCGGAGGGTAACGAGGATTTCGCGGAGCTCGTGAGAGCAGCGTCTGCGAGAACCTTGGTGAATCGAATCGACATGGATTTGGTTCTCAAACAACATCATGGAAATTCGACAGGGTTGCCAAAGTCTAGCAGTGTTGGGATGGCTAAGATTGAAGAGGATAAGGCTTATGAGTCTGAATCAGAAGGGGGTGTGTCTGATCCTTACCCCAGAAGTAAAAGCTACGCTGTGGGAAAGAGAAATCTTCCTTTTTGAACGCTCTCTGTTTGTTCTGTTAATTAATTATTCACACTAAGAGGTTTTCATTTGTTAGAATCCTTCTATCTTCTTATCTGTGCTCATCAGATAATTCATCGCATTCTTCATTCTGTTTTGCGTGCCCTTTCTCCGATTCAAACTCTTCTTCAAAACACTAATTGATATCACCTAAGCATATGTTAAAACGTTTCCCATCCATCAATAATATGGTTAAATTTCATCCATACGGTATTAGTGTTTAGCTAAGATCCTACGCAATATGGTTATTTTACTTTTTATGAAGTTTGAACAAACACTTTTTATGAATTAATTTTTAGACATGAATTAGATTTAGTTTTTTGCATGAGTTAAATTTTAATAAGAGACCTAATTTTTAACGAGTATATTCCAAAACATAATATATTGAATGTCAGATAAGTCTCATAATTTAAGTACTATGTTAGATGATATTTATTTGATTTTTGTTTTCTTTTTGAGAACATTGACCGCGTTATAATTTCTTAGATTTTAATTAATGGGACGGCGAAAGAGAATTAAAACGGTTATTAATTTGTCTGTCTTGAATAAAAGAATTCGTGTAATGTTGACATAGAGTTCACACATTGCAAGCTAAGATGCAGGTGTTGGTAGGTGTAGAAAGCAGGGCAACCAAAGTTTCATTTTGTAAGGGGTCGAGGGAGTAGGTAACTATATGCTTTCAGGAAATTTGCTTCTCCATTCAAAACCTTCTGTGCTTTGAAGATTCGGTTTAGCGATTTAGTCTATGGTGGTATCATAAACATAGAGTCAGATAAAAATAATCTTATAAAAAAGTTGAAATAAAATCATATTAAAAATTGTGAAAATTAGTCTTCTAATCATAAAAAAATCGGGGACTTCAACCATTAATTGACAAACCTATTATCTTGTGCTTACTTAAAAGTAGCCATGCATGTTACTCATTACATGAAGAGGTAAACGGGTTATTTTGTGGATTTAAAGGGTAAACCTGTTTTTGTTAATTTTAGTCATTCGACTTGAGTCGTAAGTAGTGTCTGTATATATATAATGACAATGCGTATGACTTTTAAATTCGTGATATAGTCTTTTTTTAGTATAAAATGTGATGTAAGCTTAGAAAAATAACTGTTTTGGTCAAGTAGTCCAGAATGGTGTCTGCATAAGAAAGATGCTGCATAATCTCTTTCTGTTGTGGGAAGGGATCTACTTTCATAATTCAATCCTATCTGTACAGTAGATACGGCATTTTTAGTTGACCGTTATTTATTTTATTCTATTATTCTCTTTTTCACGGCTTAAAATGACTCAATACTATAATATGACTATAAGAAAATACACGGTTCAATTACAAGTCATTGCATAGGGATAAGGTTAAACATACTCAAACCCTTTTTTTTTTTTTCAATAAACATACTCAAACTTAAATATAGAGTGCGGAAACAAGGGAAAAAAATATTTTTTACTGTAATTTAAACAAATGACTATAGAAATTTAAACACCTGTTTAATAATGTACATGCATATGTTCTCTCATTCCTTTTTTTTATATCCTATGAACTCATTGTTGAATTTCATCTCATCGTTAACTCTATTTCTCACACCAAATCTCTTCTTATTTGCAATGGTTCGAGTAGTAGCTTCAATTTACATGTGGCTTTAGAAGAATCACCATCTGGTGTGGTAACAAATAAAAAGGTTATCAAGGTCCGTTAAACCCTTTATCTCGAAGGTATCACAGTTTTGAGATAATTCGTGAAAATGAGAATTAAGAAATGTAAATAGTAAGAATATAAATTAAATCAAATACACTTAATATATTGTTAATTGTAGTTGGTATATTAATTTACTTTCATTCTTTAAACTCAAGTTTTTTTTTTCTTTTAATTTTTACTCTTTAATTTTTGTATCTTGATGCCTTTTAATAATAAGAAAAGAGAAGAAAAAAAAACATGAAACTAAACACAACAATCTTCACAAGACATGTATTACACAATGACTTATTGTGCTTGTTGTAATATATATATATATATATATATATATATATATATATATATATATATATATATATATATGGGAATAAGCGTCTAGAAGAAAGTTTTCTCTGGCTTTTTTTTTAACTATGAATGAAGATGGAAGTATTATAGGTCGTTTCTTGGCCAAGTATTAGTAGAGAATTTTCATATATACGGAAAGAAATTTCTTACATTAATATAAGTTTAAAATGTAAGTTTTTTAACTTACACTGATGTGAAAATATTTTGCCTCATATATATATATATATATATATATATATATAAGATTTTATATATATGTATAATACTATTTTAGTTTAATTGTATTTTTATTTAAATTCAATTTCTTATTTTAAATTGTTAAAATTAAATTCTTCTATTGATTTCTCTTTTTTAAAAATCTTAAATTTTTATTTGTTTTAAATCACCCACTAACCAAACAAATTTTTTTATTTAAAATTTATTAATCAAAACGTATTTTATCTAAAATTTAAATATTTATCCTCTTTAAAATCTTAACTTCATATTCTACAAAATTGTTTAACTTGAAACATTTTTAATTATTTTCTATATCAAACAATACATAAATCTTCAAATTTTTAAATAAAAATAAGGATGTGTCAGGGTGAGGTTTACGTAAAAGAGAAATTTCAATTGGAAAAAATTTCAAAAACTAAATTTGAACAAAAAATTAATAAAAAAACAAGATTCACACATTAATTTGATCAAGAAAATGCATAAATCATAGTTATTAAAATTTGATTAAGAACTTGTCAGGTCAATGGAATGGTCCATACAAGCTGAAAAATCAGTGAAACTAAAAATAGGTCGACAACCAATTAAACCAAACAATAGTTGGTCAAAACTAATTAATGTGAAAAATAAATTCAAAATAATTTCAAATTTTTTATTTTTTAAATTTAACCTAACATAAATTTATGTATTAATTGTTATTATTTAGTTATTTATTATATTTTTCTTTTGTAGAATATATATTATGTTTTTATGCTAATTTAAAATTTTATTTTATTTTTATAACTGTATATTAATTTATTGCTATATATATATATATATATATACTCTTCATTGTTAATTACTAATTTGCCCCGTTTCAATCATAATTTGAACTAATGAATTGTTGCACGATACCTTCCCAATTCAATTATTGTTTCAATCCTAATAACTTTGCATAGAAGTTAGAATAGCAAGGCAACAAAAATCAAACATCAATCCAAAAGCAGCATTTATGCAAGAAAAAGTCTAATGAAAATTACTTACGAACCCATTCGATTGGAGGATCCAATGCTGACAAAAGCATATAAGACTTGATATTTAGCAGGCAGTTTTTGACAACAAAAAATATTTTGTTGTAACGTCGACATCCTTGTAATCTCGGTCAAAGTCATATATACCTAAGTGCTTGGCAACATTATTCTACTCTTGCAAATTGTGACCAAAAAGAAATGAATTAAGAAAATTACAAAACTAATTGCTAGCAATTAAGGAACCACCAGTCTCAGGCAAAGGAACAAGGACAAGAAAGAACAACTAAACTAGAAAACATTTTTCCTTTGCCCTTCATAGCAACCAGGTATTATACATTAAATGGCTTACTGAGGTAGAAGAAAAACAATATTCACACATAAGAATGCCTTCTATATCACCCAGTGGGAAAATTTTGAGGGATAGCTTTTTGTTAAAAATAATTGTTTTTTTTTTTTAAAATCTTTTATGAATTGAGAAAAAAAGTGATTATTGTCAAAAATAGACATGCATCTAATATTAAGCCAGAATTGATACATAGATGATTTGATATTGACACAGCAGTACACTGTGAGGAGCAAATTTGAAGTGGACTCAAGTGAGTTTTGGAAGGAAACATTGGAGAGAAGTAAGAGAGAACAAGTTTACAAAATAATTCTTACCATGTCACTTATCTCAAGCATTCTCCAAACTTTGTTAATTTGTAAAGATATCGTTAAGGATGCAGATGTCGCCTTTCTCGATTTTTGATAACTTACAAGCTCTTTCTTCGGCCCCTAGACTTTGAAAAATTATTGCATGGTTCAAATCATATGGTCCCAATATGAGTTATCAAGATTACATGGTATTGAACTACCAAAACATTTCTCCAGAACTTATCAGCGTTCACTGTTGATTAGGCATGCACATTTATCTAAACATGAGCCTCTACATGCCCCCCAACATAAGAGATAATTCCATTCTTTTCCATGTTATTTCAGGTTGGTATTCATTAATATTATGTCTTTAATAACAACTGTGCTTGCTCAATCATCTCATAAGCAACATGAAGAACTGTGTAAACTTAAAAGCATGAGCAAGGAGATTTTTTAAAGCATGAGTGATGTCTACAATGTCAATAAACAAAATTATATATTCAAATAGAGAAGTATCAAGGAGGTAAAATAAGTAGCAATATTCATAGACATTATCGTGGCACTTTATTTTTGCAAATCCACAAGTAAAATAAATAGAGACTTTACTTATTTTAAGATAAGAGGAGAAGGTATATTAGCTACTTTTATTTTTCTAAAAGATATACCAAATAAAACAAAGGAAAAAGGGATTGAAAATTCAGAGATAAAAGAAAAAATGTATTATAATTTTTTTAGATTTTAATCTTTAATTCAAAATTGATCCTTATCATTACTCAATTTTCATTAACAACTGATTTAACTAACATAACTTTACTTAATCATATTATTCAAAAAGTTAAATGTAATTTTACTCTCTATAAAATTACTAAATTTATTTTTAGTCCTTTTTAAAAAAAATATTTTAGTCTCTACTTAATTTAAACATAAAATTTTTATTGTATATAAACTTTTAAAATTATATGTAATAAATATATAGATAAAATAAATATAAAAATATGATAAAAAATTAATGATTTTTAACAATTTTAAAAATGAATATTTAAAAAATGTCATCTCACAAATTTAATAGAAAAATTATATATAAATGTTAATTTTTAATTATTTATTCAATCAACTTAAATTGGAGAGCTGAAATTAAAACTTAAAATTTTATAATTATTTTAAGTAAATGAATTTTTGTTTGAAATGACAGTTATATAAACTTAAAAAATATTAATATATTATTACATTTAATTTTAACATTTTTAAATTTATACAGGAAATTAAAAATATTATTCTAATTTTTATTATATCTATATTTTATTATATTAATCAGTAAAAAATATGAGTATTAAAAAATTGATTATTAAGAATGAAGTTAAAAAAATAATTATTTATTAATTTTATAAAATAAAAAATTACATAAATACTAAGTAATAAAAAATATTAATTTTTCTTTTTTAAAATATTAAAAAACCAAGATGCATTTTATATATCAAGCAATATCAATGGCATCAGTTTTAGAAAATAGTTCGAAGACAAAGTTATTTTAAGAGAGATAAGAATTAAAAAAAAAAGCGATAAATGTAGGCTTGATACAGTGCAATAAGACGTTAAATAAGTATTTATTTTGTTAGATATTTATAAATTAAAATTATAAATTCTATGTATTAAAAAATGTATACACTCTATTAGTTAAGTCAACTTTGTTTTGATATTATATATAAAATCATATATAATTTTCTATTTTTAATAGGTATATTAAAAATATATTTTGTGATTAAATTATGTAGAGATAAAAATATTTTTTACAGATACTAAAAATGAATTTTAAAAATTTTATAAAACTATAAATACATTTAAATTTTTTAAATAATATACCAACGTTGAGTTTGTTTTTAGTTACATTAACGATTAATAAAGATTAAGTAATAAAAGAGACTAATTATATATATTTTTATATTAACTAAATTTTTTAAAAAAATTAACAGAAATTTTAATGAATCACATAATTGACTAAAAAATATTTAACCTTTTTTAAATAACCGAACAAATTTATTAGAAGGCAAGACACATGCACAAAAGCAAAGGTAACAAACAAGAGAAAAATAAAAACATCACAGCAACAAGGAAGCTAGGATATTCAGCGTCATTGTTATTTCTTTTACTTTTTGTTTTATGTGTGCCATTGGGATAAATTTTTTAGCATTTTTTTTATGAGAATTAAACTTTGTCTAAGTTTATTAGATCAGTTTATTGATATTTAATTTGAAATTAATTTTAATTTTTTTTCTCAACCCACTTAATTGAATTTGGGCCAAGCAGTTTATTTAAGTGTAAAATATGAGACTTGAGTTTTTATTTTAAAGATCAAATAAAAAGTGGAATTTTTTTAATATGACTTAACAATACTCAAAATTCAAATTTAGTTGGTTCAATGGGCCCTAAAGCCTATTTTGTTCATTTTCCAGTATGTGTGCATTGAATGCACATATGCATCTTGATTTTTTTAAAGAGCGATTTTAATGAAAGAAAGAGAAAGAAGGGAGTATAATATAAAAAAGTTTATTATTATATATTTATAACATTTAAATATATTTACAAAATTAAAGATAGTTTTATTCTATTAATTTTTTTTTCTTTTGAATCTTCCAGAAAGTCAAAATTAGAGTTAGAAAAAATATTTAGAGCTCGTATGTTTTTATTTTTAATTTTTAAAAATTGTTTTAAATAATTTAAAAAATTATTTAAAGGAAAATAAAAACAAATACTTATGTTAACAAACAAATTTTATTTTTTTACTTTTAAAAAGAAAAAGTATTTTTAAAAACAAAAACAACAAATAACTTCTTAATTTTTTTAATTCTCTTCATTTTAAAATATTAAGTTAATAATATATATAAATCATTTTTTTATTATTTCAAGTAAATATTCAAAAATATTTTTTAAAAATCCTAAATTAATCTATAAACGAGAGAGAAAATAATATAAATCAATATTATCTTAACTACCTAAACAAATTATAAATATCACATTGATACCTTAATAAAATTAATATTATTATAATAAAAATTATTAAATTTTAGTTTTTAATATCAATAAAGTAAACAATGAAGTTCATTTCATTTAATGATATTGTATAATTTTTTAATTAAAAGGTATGAATTTATAATTACTTTAATATATTAAAAATTAAAACATATATATATATATTTAAATAAATTATTAATTTTACTGTTTATTAATATAAAATTAATTGTTTTGAGTAGAACAGATATAAAAAAAAAGTATTTTTATTTTAAGCACAGTGAAAATTACCGGTTATTTTTCTAACTCGTCCACGCGGCACTGCACTTTGCCAACTCAGCGTATATTCAGCACTATTTTAAAAATATAAAAATAAAAAGGATTTAAATATTTCTCACACTTAGAGTGGGGGCACACATGGTCTGCTCTAACTGAGAAAAGACCAGAAGAAGAAGCAAGGAAGGATAAAGGTATTTTTGGGCATGGCGGTGTTGTCAGACATTAAAGACAACGATGAACTCAACGAAGAGCCCGGGGAAGTCATCGAATCGGCACCACCCCAGAAAGTTGGCGAAGAGAGGCAGCTCACTGGTCTCAAGAAGAAGCTTCTCAAATGCGGACTCGAATGGGAAACCCCCAACTTCAACGACCAAGTCACTGGTTCGTTTCTCACATTCCCACTAAATTCTTCATTCTCTTTACGCAATTCTCCACCACGTAACCTTCAACATTCAATGCAGTTCACTATGTTGCAACTTCTTTGGATGGAACGAAGTTTGATTCCACTAGGGACATCGATCAACCTAGGACGTTTACTCTTGGTCAAGGTCAGAACTGTGAACTTTTTTTATTTTTTAAAATTTTTTTTTATGTGGGTGTGATTTTAATTTGTTTTATATTTTGATGGGGTTGACAGGGGAAGTGTTTGCTGGGTTGGATAATGGGATTTTGACTATGAACAAGGGGGAGATAGCATTGTTCACGTTACCTGGTGTGTCTGGTGGTGGAGGCATTGCAGATAATTCCAACTCGGTTGTGCAGTTTGAGGTGGAACTTGTTTCGTGGATCACAGTGGTGGATGTTTGCAAAGATGGCGGGGTTCTTAAAAAAATTATGGCGAAGGGGAGTGGGAATGAGAGACCTAGTGATCTTGATGAAGTGCTTGGTATTCTAATAGTTTGCTTGAACATGTCATTTAGTTGAGAGTTATATTATTATGTATCTCTTTTGGTGAATCTCTTTTGGTCTGTTTTGTAAACTAAGACTGTTGGCTTAATTGTTCTTTTTGGATGTTTTGCTACTGCAGTGAAGTACCAGGTGATGCTGGTTGATGGCACTGTTGTTGCGGAAACGCCGGAAGGAGGAGTTGAATTTCATGTGAAGTATGGTAATATTGTTTAGCTGTGCTATTGTCTTGTTTGATTTCACTAAATAGGGAATACAATTTGATTTTTATCTCACGGTTTGTTCGATCAATTATGATGCTGGTTGAAGGTCATATTTTTTCTATATTGCCGAAAGTGATCATGACTATGACAAGGGGAGAGAAGGCTGAATTAATTGTTCAACCTCAGTGTATGGATTTTGCTCTTCTAATCTGCCTACATTATCTGTATTTTTGGCAACAGATGAAATGTTAATTTTATGTCCTCACATTCCCTCATTTTAATTAAGACGCGTGAGAACTTTGGTCCCAAAATGTGACTCTGATTAAAAGGAAAATGATGTAACCATCTTTTGTAGTCCATTGAAATGTTTCAGCTCTCGCCTAATCAGTTTCTGTTTTCCAGCATGTTGGTTACTTTCCCTTAATTTCCCTCGATAAATTGATCAGTCTAGGGAACTGCAAACATTAATGTTTGTGCATCATTTTTGAAAGCCGATTAAAAGTTAAGCCTGCTTATGGCATACCTTTTTCTGTAAAAGGGGCTTCATTCCCATTTTCTTTCTAATTCTTCTGGACTTTTTGAGCTATTCCATATCTGGATGTGGACTTTAAATTTCACTTTTATTCCTTAGCTTGATGGATCTTGCAGTCCAATATCTCGAATAACTAGTTTGAAATTGTATTTTATATGGTTACTGCAGATGCCTATGGGGAGAAGGGGAGAGAAGCTGGGAGTGGGCTACATTCAATTCCTCCAAATTCAGTGTTGCATATTAATATTGAGTTGGTGTCCTTCAAGCCTGTCATAAATGTTACTGGTGACTCCATGGTGCTTAAGAAGATTTTGAAAGAAGGGGAGGGTGCTTTCACAGCCAATGAGGGTGCAAAAGTTACCGGTAAGAATATGATATGCATTTAAGCTCAACTAGTTCAAACAGTTGGGTTGCTGGGATATTGGTGTAGAATTTGAATCAGAATGGATCTAAAACTGTTAGGATTGTTGTCCCGTGATGGGATAGGAAAGTACAAATCTATGGCCACGCTCAGATGTTTCCCTATAAACTATATTCTTGACTGAGATTAATAAATTTGCAGACTCTTGATGTTTCTGTTTTCTTGCATCTCCTTTGGTGTTGTTAGCACATAAGAAGTAATGAATCACTTAAATTACGTCGTTACATGAACATGAAGTTAATTTCAAAACTGAAATACAATAATTTACCTAAAGTTGTGATGAAAGAATAATTCAGTTCATATATCTTCTTTATTATGAGTTGTCGCTAGTTTCAAGTTAATCATTCCCAAATCTAGTATCACTTTAAGCTATTGGACTAGAGTTTAACGTTCTTTTCCCTTGTTATCTCCCAATTCACTTTCAAATTTACTTTATCGTCTAAACATCACATGTTTCTTCAAAATATTAAAGGAAATATATTAACTTGTGTGTCTAAACAGACCAGTAAAGTACAATCAGACACAAATAAAGAAGATACAACACAATGACTATTGTAGTGGTCAACAGAGACAGAAAATAACTTGTATGTAGCATCTTTTAGAATGTTTTTTGTGAAAACACTCCTATTGTGTGACAACAGACATATAAAATGTGTTGTATCTTCAAACTAAGAAGGTACTACCACTATAATTTTATTTGTTGTACAAATGAAAATAAAAGAAGATAAGGATGAAGAAACATCAGTTTACTAATTGCTTCTGGTGAATTGCTATGGCAGTCAGCTTCACAGCTATGCTAGAAGATGGCACTGTGTTTGAGAAAAGAGGAATCGATGAAACACAGCCCTTGGAATTCATAACTGATGAGGGTGAGTTTATTCTTGTCGTATTTTAACTACATTCTTTTGCATGTATTCCCCCCCCCCCCCTTTTCCCCCTCTTTGGTGATGATCATTGAATGATGATAGTAGTGCTTTAAATATTAATAGTTTATGACATCTAGGAAGTGAAATAATTGTTATTTTTTGTAGAACAAGTGATCACTGGTCTAGACCGAGCTGTGGCAACAATGAAGAAGGGTGAGAGAGCCATAATTAGCATACATCCTAATTATGCATTTGGAAATGTTGAAGTGAGACAAGATCTTGCTATTGTGCCACCAGGCTCAAATGTAATCTTTGACGTTGAGATGATGGATTTCATTAAGGTAAAAGAAAAAAAGAAATCTTCTGCCATATTCATTAAGGTATTGAAGATTTTGGTTTACCCTATAGATGGTGATGGAAACTGATACCATTTACCAATAGAAGGGAGAAAACCTAAGTAATGACTTGTAATATGATTTAGATTCTCTTGCAGTGTTTAGTTTGTCAATTACATACATATATGTATCTTGTTGCTTTCAATACTTCTAACTTTTATTTGATTTGAAGGAGAAAGCACCATGGGAATTAAATAGTAAGGAGAAAATTGAGGTGGCTGGGAGGAAGAAAGAAGAAGGAAATGTATTATTTAAAAGTGGAAATTATCAGCGAGCAAGAAAGAAGTATGAAAAGGTAAATCCTTGACTTGCAGTGGCTCTGGTTTTTTAAGTTTCATTAAGATTCTTTTAGTTTGTGACTTGTTCCAAATCCACTATACCTTGTTCTCTCTCAGGCTGCTGATTTTGTTAGTGAAGATGGATCCTTTGGGGATGAAGAGCAAAAGCTAGCTGAGGCACTGAGAGTGTTGTGCTGGTTGAATGGTGCAGCGTGTTGCCTTAAACTTAATGACCTTCCTGGAGCAATCAAACTATGTTCACAGGTAACAGCCAATCCAGTCATGCATAGATTTGAAGCAGCCATTTCTATGAGTAGATTGGATATTTCTGTGGGTGGGAGGAGTGTTTGACAAGTTGTATGCTTGAGGTATATAATAAATTGGGAGGTAAAGGAAATCAAAGTAATTCTCATGAGAGTCCTGGTCTGATTTATAAGTTTAGTTACTTGAAATAACCAGCTGGGTATGCACAAAACTGATAAAACGTTTTCAAATATTGCAGAAAACTGGGAATTAACCCAGTGATTACAGAAACTGAAACAAGAGAGAAACATAAATGGAGCATTACAGTATCTAGGCTAGCTTTTTGAGGGTCTTTCTTCCTCTCATGTTCCACTCTTCTTGCTGGATTATTGCTTTCATTCCCTTGTTCCCTCTCTTTGCTTTCAACACTTTAACAGACTTCACACTGGTTGCATTGAAATTGTTCTTTCCCTATTTTAACCAATGTTTTAGTATAATTGGTATTTGGTCTGCTAAAGGCACTTACATGGTTCAAATATGAAAAGGAATACAGTGTTCTCAATTTCTAGATGAATATGACAATGCCTAAATGTAACTACCATAATATGAGCATAGAAAATTATTATATTGGTGTACAGACTACACAGCTACTGTTAAACTTATTAAACAGTTAAGAAGTGGAAAATTTTCCAGATATTGGAAGCTTCATGTGTGCTGATGCATGCCTCTGAGTGCAAACAAGGAAATGGATGCATTAATATCATCTTATCACTCAACTTATAAGATGGAGCCCTGAGTTATAAGAGTAGCTATCATATTGCCTTTCTTACTTTTTCGTCAGGTGCTTGATGTTGAATTTTGCAATGTGAAAGCTTTGTACAGACGAGCACAAGCGTATATTGAAACTGGAGACTTCCTTTTGGCAGATGTAGACATCAAGAAAGCTCTTGAGGTGGACCCACAAAACAGGTACTTTAAAAGGTTGATTGTCCCAAAAAAATTACTGCTTGATTTAAATGATAGTTCTCATTACGGAAACATGAATTTTCATTTTCCAGGGAGGTGATGATAATTAAAAAGAAATTGAAGCAACTTCAAGCTGACAGTGACAAAAAAGATGCTAAGTTATATGAACACATGTTTGCACGTAAAACAAAGGACTCATCTATGGCTAAAAAGGTGCATATTGTTTCACCTTAATAGCTCTTTTTTCACTTGTGTATTTGAAATTAGGAAATTGTCTTGCCTTTGATCCAACACACTACTTTAGAAAAAGAAAAACTCAAAAAGAGAGAGAAAGAAAAGATGCACATGCACATTTAACAATCAATTTTAGGTAAGGACCTTGTTGCGATATGGATATCATAGATATTTATGCTCTCTTGTATTTGTTAGGTGTTTTTGGGGGTGATGAGGAACCTAATTGCTGTTGTGTGGATTTTGAGTCAGATTTATGGACTTGTGGTTTGTCCATCAATGACCAAATCTTAACTAGGAGAGGAACTTTTCTAGATCCCTAGTCTTACATTGTTTAATGTGAACATCTTTTTTCAACCAAGTTATTGCTTGTGGGTCTATGAAGCTAAAATGGGTGCTAAAAAACATGGAATTTCCTAGTCTAGGTTGATGCCTTGATGAGGCAATAGAGAAAGAATGATTTCAACGAGTCCCATGTTGTCATTGTAGGATCGGTATATCATTTCTTCTCCTTTTCATTTTCTTGTTCTTAATCTCTGTTGTTTGTCTGATACAGTGTGTGATTTTCTGTATATTGCTATCCCCCCCCCCCTTGGTGGTTAGGTACGATTAGCTAGTTACAAACTCAACAGAATATCTTAGTGTATAAATAGCATTTCCACATCTGTATTAATCATAAAAATTACCATTCATCAATTCATTTCCAATTCGTGTCAAATTTCTCTCTTCTCTCCTCTCCTGTTTGGTTTTCTCAATTAGCTAATCCTTCATCAAGAGGCTACAGCTCTAGGATTCAAGTCAGTTATCCCTGAGTTATATCATTGTCATTATAAGAGTAATGCTAGCAACACACTCTCTAACACACTCTTTGTAACACACCTCTCACTATTGGCTAAAATTTATTGAAAATTATAAAAATCATGTGGGTCACACTCTTTCTCACTCCTAAAGTAATATTTCTCTCTCATACTTTATTAGTTTTCAATAAATTTAAGTCAATAATAAAGATTGTGTTGCAAGCACTTCTCATCATTATTAACACCTAATGTTCTTGCTTCTACTTAAGCTGTATTTTGTAATTAAAGCTCTTACTCTTCTCAAAACAGAGACTGAAGGTTGAGAAACATGAGACGGAAAATGAAGAGGTTGCAGGAATGGAAATGGACAATGTTGCTGATAGCGCCATGGTTTAATAGTTGTATTCTTGCTAAACTTGTATAGTTTACAACAGAGAGCTTCTATATATATATATATATATATATATCTGTAGATGTATATTCTGAGAATCTACATGTTCCAATAAAATACATTAATATATACCATTAACTTGTAATCTTACCCTATTTCAGGTGAACAAGTATACTCACTAAATTCATATGCAAGTCTTGTTTAATTGTTTATACTGAACTATTTAATCTCAATGCTGGCAGCACAGAGGCTCTACTTATTTTAGTCCACAGGACAATAGCATCTTAGCTTGTCACATTTATATTTGGATAATGAATTTTCACAAAATGTGAGCAGAGTGGATAACTGATATAGAGGGATCATGGGTCCATATGCCATTGAGTGGTTATCACTGTTAAGAGTTTGATAGTTATATCACTTTGGTCAATGGTTGGTTTAACTTGTAAGGATCAAAATATTTTACTTGTGCCCTGGCAGAAATGAGAAGGAAGTGAATTTGTAGATGCACACGATCATTTTAGTACAGTTGGATATTAATCTTAATAAAACTTCAAATAACTGCATCAAGTCATTAATAAAGGGTTTAAATATGTTTTTATTTATAATTTTATGAAAAATTGATTTTAGTCTTTTAAAAAATATTTTTGGTTACAATTCTTAATTTTTTAAAATGTAATACTTTTGCTCCCTGGTTATGATGTGACTAATGGGTTGTCAAAGTGTTAATTTTAGCTAAATTTAAGAAAAATGAAGGATTAAAACTATTTTTGTAAGCACTAAAATTAACATCTCAAAAAATGTGGAGTTAAAATGTATTTAAGTCTTGAGAAAAAGTAGAGATATAGTCATGTATATATGTTAGGTTCTAATAGCTTGTCACTTAGAAAAACTTTATCACTTAGAAATATTGTTGAGAGGATTTGGATTCCTCCTTGTCATTAAATAACATGATGTGATATAGAGCGAGTAGAGGTGCAAAAAAAATTAAATATAAAAGTTTAATCTATAATTAAGTCTAACCGATTTTAAAAATTTAAATTTTTTGAAACATCAGAAAACTAAATCCATAAAAAAAAAATCTAGATTTAAATTGATTTTAATATATCAAAATTAGATTGAATTTTAGAAAATCAGATTTATTATTTTTTTTCTTCTAAACCCTAGATTTTTTTTTTTTTGAAAAAAATTACACTGATTTGATTCGCAACAACAAGATTCACTTATCTCGCATGCTTAACCATAATGGCCTAGAGTGTAATAGAGCTGAGAAAATTCATGGGCCCAGACCATTTCAATCACTACTTCATGAGCATTTGAATTTCTAATTTATTTATCATTTGTGCTACTTTAGAATTACATCTTCTAGTCACCAAGGTACTTATGGAGTTATTTCAATGGACCAAGTCTCATGATGTGATATGCTTTGAGATTGGTATAAGAAAATTTTGATAAAAGTAATAAATTATGATTATTACTCTTCACGCAATGTTATTGAGATGTCTTGAATGTGTGACTCTTGTATTTCTCACATTTTAACTCTTATTTTTTTTTAATTAGTTGTAATAGAGAATTATAAGTTATTATGATAAATTATGAGTCATTATATACATGAACTTTAAAAACTAATAAAACACTCTTATTTGATTATTTTGTACCTTGTATTCTTGAATATAAATCTCTTAATTTATCTATGGACGTATTTCACATTAATTGAATCATGTTAATTTTTGTATGTTCTTTCTATTTCTATCACTTTTTTCATTTCTATCATAATACATAAGTGGCAAGGCCTAGACGACTTACAACAAATATGTTTTATGCTAATATTGTCCTGTGTTAATTTTAAGTACATCCATGCTCAAACATAAGTTATATAAGAGTGGAACAACTTATAAATTACACATAAGTCATACTAATAATTGTTAAACTTATACACTATTACCGTGGTGTTTATAATAAACACGACTATGCTAATCATTAGACATGAACATGTTAAATATTTTGACCTCTTTAATCTTAAACTTTAAATAAACATAACTTTTTGCATAAAATTTTAATTTCAAAAATTTTAATATTTTCTTCATTTTTTCTAAGTTTTTTTTTTGTATTTTTACATTCTTGTATAATAATAAAATATTCAAGTGATGATTTCATATTAATTCAGATTTAATTTACTTTTTATTATTAAAAAATTAACTGGGGTTAAAAGTTGCTATAGAAGGCTCTTTTGTATTATTAGGCATATTATAACACCCTTAAACACAAAGATCTCAAAAAATTATATAAAATAAATATATAATTTGTTTAAATTAATAATTTGTATAAAATGTTATAACCTTTAAAAGTTTACAATTAAAAAGTTTGAGCATGCTTAAGCACGTCTTATAATATGAGTTGCACTACTTTTAGGCAATTTATATTATATTTTATATGATCACATTCTAAATTTAGCACGTTAGTAATAAAAAAATAATATATTTCAAATTTTTCCAAAAATAAAATAAATTTAAAATTATTTTTTTAATTTTATTCATATAAAAACCTATTCCAGTTCTTTCTTTATTTAGTAACCAAGAACATACCATAAGATAATATAGAATTATCTCAATAAGTATAAATGTTCACTCATAAAAAGTGTGCCCAATGCTCGTAATAGGAATAAAGTTTTATAAACTTAGTACTATGTTTGTACTAGAGATAAAATAGAGAACAAAAATAAAAAAATATAAAAAGATAGAGTAAAAAAAGATATGTTACTTGAATGAGTAAAAATAAAGAAATAAATAAATAAAATAAGATTATTTCCACTTATTTGAATGAATAAAAAATAAAATAAAAATGAATAATTAAGTTGTATAAATAGTTATAGTAATAGTGATAATATAAAATTAAATTTAATAAAAAATTGAGAACTTTTAATGCATTTTCTTCCAAGTAGCTTTACTATTTAAAATAATTACGTGTATCAGTCTCTTTCTCTTTTTCTTTACTTTCACTAAAAACCAAAGGTTTCAAACAAGTAACAATTGGATGTTTTACATAAATATGTAGATATGTTTTTTAGAAAATTGTTTAACTTTTTCAGTGTTATTTATTCTTATATCATAGAAAATTGTATATTTAAATTCGTTTGTAATGCTAGAGAATTTTAACTAAGTCTTTGGTCCAAAAACGAAAAGCATATGACTCAAATATTTTTAAGATAATAGAATATTTATTACTAATAGTTAAATATTTATTCCTTTTGAATATATTAAATTAAAAATTTATATAATATATCTTTAATTTTACATAAAATTTTAATCCTTTTGAGTCAAATATTGAGTTTAATAATAAATTTTAAAATTTTAAAAATAAAAAAAGCATGTGGCATGACAGTAAGAGAACTTCTGTATTATATATAAATTTTGTTTAAAATGTAATAAAATGTTGTTGGCTTGTTGACAGTGGCATGAAAAAAAAATAATAAAAGAGTCGATCGAATTACAAATTTAGAAACAATTAAAATGAAGAAAAGAAGTTTTAAAAAAAAAAAGCATAAACCCTAACATATAAATTAAAATAACACGCTATTTTATGATCATGAATGACAAAGTAGCAAAATTTAGATTCATTTGTGTTTCTTCGAAGCCCTATTTCTTATAACATGTGAGCTAATAAACTTTCCAAATTTCAAACGTCAATTAAAATTGAAATAATCAAAACATGTTATTTAAAATTAAATTACTAATTTTTATGAGTTTAAAATAGAAACTGATTCTGTTAGTTTTTTAAAAAAAGGAAAGATAACTAAGCATATCATTTTCTTTTCCAAATATTAGAAAATAATAAGAAAAGCATAATTGTATATAAAAGGTGTGAAAACATGACTACATAATAGTAATAATTATAATTAAATTATTCATTTTAAAAATATAAATTCAAATGTATTATTACTTTTACTCTTATTTATAAAAATTAAATTATATTTAATTTATCAAAACTAATAAAAAACAATTATATGTCATAAATTTATTTTTTATTTTAAAATCATGTATGATATTAATTAATATAAATAATCGGTAAATCTCACAATAAGTAACGGTATAAGAATATCTAGAAATTAATAAGTTTTTTAAAAATATTTATTTGTTATATTTTATAAAAATTATACATAGTTATTTTTTATAAATAAGATAAAAATAATATATGCGATAAATTTTTATTAATTATTTAATTTATCTCTTCGATTTTTCTTAATTTATAAAAAAATGAAATAAAAAAAAATTAGAATAAACAGCATGGGTCACCGAATACAAAACAAACCCAGAAAAGAAAAAAAAAAAAAAACACAGAGAATGCAAAACCAACTAAACACAAGCATTCAACGTCAACTTCCATACACATTCCTTATTTATTATTTTCTTGTCACTTTATTATGATATATTTATGATGATTTTTTCGTAAGAATTAATATTTTTAGAAATGTAGAAAAAAATGGGTGCCTATATTAAGTTATTACTATTATCATTTAAAAATGGACTTAAAATGGCTGTCCTAGTTAATAAATGCGTTTTTTTTTACAACCTTCTTGTGTATAAATCATTACTTTGATATTTTTCAATCTATGCATGAAACAAAAATAATGAGGATGTAGTATGAGCATTTTCAACAACTGTGATTTTTATGCAATTAATAATTTTTCTGTACACTGCACAAATATCATTACATTAAAATGAATTTTAATAAATAATTAAAATTGTATATTTTTTACATTCTAAAAAATTATATTATTTTAAAAATAAATATTATAATTATTAATGATAAACTTTTTATTATGTTAAATAAAAATTAAAAATATTATAAAAAATGAATTAGTATTAAATTTTAAAAATGATTATATAATACAAAAATACTTAATGTGATGAAAAAACAACAAGTAGTTAAAAATGCTTCAATTTTAGGAATAATTAGGATATTCTTAAAAGCACTGATACATTGCGCATTGTTAATTTGTATAAAATGTCAAAGTCAACGAGATCTCTTCAAGTAAAGTAACTTCAAAATGCTACAGAAGTCAATACATACAATGACTGTTTTGATACTTAATTTGATAAAAAAACAACTATATTTACGAGCAGTTGTAGGATTGAAGAAGAAAAAAAATAGGTGGTAAAATATATAATAATCCAAAAATATAAATTAAAATAAAAATAACCAAACGTGTTATTGGAAAATACTTATTTGTGAATTGCAAATAGAGAATGATTATGAGAAAAGAAAGAAAACCAAGGCTGTCATTTACTTTCCCAAACATTTGAAAGTAAAAATAATGATAATAAAAACTTATATTGATATAAAGACTACATAAAAACATGACTATACAACAATGATAATAATATGATTGTTCTTTTTAAAAGTGCGAATTTAAATGTATTTTGTACAGTAATATATATATTATTTATTATTAAATTTATAATAAAATACAGATATAAACATTATATTATTCTCTTTTTTACTATAAAATATATACTATTTTGTTCGTTTAGCTTATACCATTATTTTAAAAAATAAATTATTATTTTTATTTAATATACTTGTGTATCATTTTAAATTTATCAGTTTACCCTTTACTCACAGTTTAATTATTATTTGTATGTTTTTTTCTTCTTCTAAAGTTCTACCTTGTTTTTTAAAGTGTTAAAGTGGTATATCTCGCCCGCACCTTCTTCAATTTTATTAAGGGTAACTTCTTTCTATTTTTTCCAATTATTTAATACCAAAACATGTCTTTAAAATTTTGATAATAATAAGGGTTTATTCCATGAAAGAGTATATATATATATATATATATATATATATATATATTATATATATATATATAATTTATTAAAAAAATATTTTGATAAAAAAATGTTAAACAAATGCTTAAAAATACTTTATAAAAAAATACGTAATCTATGAAATATTTAAAAAAAAATGATATTATAATATTTTAAATAAAAAATTCAGTATAACATGTAAATCTTTTAAAGGATAGAAATATAATTTACTCTTGAAAAGGTTTTTTCGGTGAACATTGCGAAAAGATAAAAAGATAAAAAGAAAAGAAAAATTGGCATGGGCCACGAAACCTAGCAAAAATAATTTATAAAAAAAATAGAATATGGGCCTATAAACCGAAGGAAACCCGAAATATATACGGATCCATGAAAATCCGCGCTTAAACCTCAGAACAAACCTAACTATGGCCGCTTTGTGTTCCTCTTCTACCCTATTCTCTTTTTCCTAACACAAATTCAATTCACGCTTACCATTTTCCTTTTGCACTCTCCATGGGCGAACTTTACAAAATCAGCTCCATCGATTGGCGACCATCGCCGGTCGTAGCCTTAGCCACTAGCGTCGACGGCTTGCGAGTCGCCGCAGCTCGCCAAGACGGCTCGCTCGAAGTCTGGCTCGTATCTCCCGGTTCCATCGGCTGGCACTCTCAGCTGGTACCTTCCTTACGCGCTTTTCTCTTTGCTTCTCTGTTCTTTATGTTGATCTTATTCTGATACCTTTGAGTTTGGCGCGTGCAGACTATACACGGAGACCCTAACAGAAGAGTGTCATCGCTTGTTTGGTGTTCCGGCGGTTCTGACGGAGGTCGATTATTTTCGTCTAACATAGACGGTTCCGTTACTAAATGGGATCTTTTCCACTTGAATCAAACGGTAACTTTTTCTTCCTTTGCATTTCGATGTTTTACGTCTGGTGATAGTGTGATTGAAGCTTGAAACTCTTCTATTGATGCTAGTATGGTAAAAGTGTGTTAAGTTACTGACACTGCCATTCTTAGGTTAGTTTGCCATTGCTCCTTTGCGGTAGTGCTGTATGTGTTTTTCGTTTTCGTAAGTGTTCGGGTCTTATTTGTTATGAGTTTGAAAGTGTTCTGAATGACTTGCTTTTGGCTTTTGGTTTTGATTTTTTACCGCTGTGTCTCAAAGAAATATTTTATTGTGTTTAGTTTAATTTGATATGCAATGTTTGCAGACAGTGCTAGAATCGGATGGAGTCTCGATATGGCAAATGGCTGTTACACTGCCTATGAATGACAAAATAAACGCTGAAACTAAGGGTGGTATGGGGAATGGACATGTGAATAAATTCCATGATTTTGATGAACGTGAGAGTAGTGAAAGTGATGAAGATTCTGATTTGCCTGGCCCTCTTGAACATTCCATCAGTGAGCATCCACGTGTAGCAATTGGTTTTGACGATGGGTGTGTGAGAATTTATTCCATCTCTGACACGGATGAATTTATCTACGTAAAATCCTTGCCCCGAGTGAAAGGTGAGGTTTTTCCGGAGTTATTTATTTTGTAGCAGTTTTCTCTCTAGCATGCGTAATTGATGGTAATAGTGCAATTTTATATATGGCTTTCAGGACGAGTTTTAAGTGTAACTTGGAGTACAGACGCTAACTTCATATATTCAGGAAGTAGTGATGGGTATGTGTTGAAGTTTTGATTGATAAATTATCCTTCCATGACTATCATGGTGTTCTACCTATTTTCTTTTGCTAGTGAATGTAGGCTTAATTATGAAAAAAAATAAAAATTAAGCAGATCGAGCAACATAATCCTCCCATTTTTAATGGATGTCATTGTTACCTTGTTAAATGTGCACATCGATGTGTCTGTTGCCTTGCAGGTTGATACGATGCTGGGATGTTACATCAGGTAATGAAATCTATAGGATTACGGCTGGACTTGGAGGTTTGTGCAGTGGACATGAACTTTGTATATGGTCATTGATGTCATTAAGGTAATCGGAAGAACATCTTTTTGTGGAACTGTTTTTGAAATTAACTTTGTATGCATACTTCCACCATATTGTTCTAATATCTGTTATGGAGTTCTTTTTGTCTATTTGCCATGCTTGTTGCTAATTGGGTAGTTCTTATTTAGGTCTGGAACACTTGTTAGTGCAGACAGCAGTGGTAGTGTCCAGTTTTGGGACAGCCAACATGGAACTCTCTTGCAAGCACATTCTTTACACAAGGGAGACGTAAATGCTCTTGCAGCAGCCCCTAGTCATGATAGGGTGTTCTCTGCTGGTTCTGATGGTCAGGTATGGAGTTGCATAATTTGTGAATTCTCACAAAACCATAGCAATTTATCTTTTTTGCATTGCAACTAACTGGTTTTATATGTGTGTACATTTACTTCTTTGATAGCTGTTTTTTGACATTGTTATTTTTCACACTTTCATAAGATGTTATTTCACATAATTGGCATTGTTGTTTAGGTCAATTTAAAGTAGTGGATCTGTGTACTATGCTTTGCATTTTTTCCTTTAAATTAATATGTTTGATATGTTGACACAGGGAATGTAGTGATGGTTTTGGATGCTGGTAATGTACATGTACAAAGAAGGACAAGAGTTTTAAAAAAGTTTAAATATGCAATGACTGAGAATAAATGAGGAACCAAACATTTCAGTTGAAAATGAAAATATAAAAATGATATGGTTGAAATGGACCACCAGAGAGATAGTTTTGACAGGATGAATGGTTTGTTGCATTCATGTGGGATGTCGAAGGTTTAATGTTTGCTGTGGGGCTTGGTTTTGTTGTTAATTAAACAAAATTGCAGCATTGTTGGAAATGTCTTAAACTTCACACTCTGGATTTATTCTTGAAGATTGAGCTATGTGGGGGAAAAAAGAGATGCAATAACATTATTGAGTGAGACAGTTTAAAAGGCATGTTAAGTTTTGTACCTTTAAATTAGTAGATTGCATGCTATCACAGTTTAAGCATATCTATTATTGATTCTCAATCCTTTCAACCTCTGTCAATGTGGATTTTATCACTTTTCCATGTAATGAAAGAATGAGAATGATTATCTCCAACCTTAACCTTCATTTTACTCCCCTATATCAAACTTACATGTAGTGTGACAGTGAAACCTAGTAACAAACAATAGTTTCATTTTTATGTATTTTTATCTTTCTATTTATGAACTTGTGTTCTCTATTTACCTTGGAGGCAAATTACTGCATATTTCAGCTGTATAATTAATAAAGTACTGTAGTTGCTTGCTAACCATATATATTGTTCTTTAAATTTTGGTTTTTCTGGTGCTTCTTTTGATTAAAAAATCAACTGTTTATGGTTCAGATGTAACTGTGTCACTGTGTTAGAATTGCTCTTGGTGGAGGCCCATTGTCTATCATTTCTCATATCTTGTGTTGTTATTATTGAATCGTTAAATTATTGTTTGCTTTCCCATTTTTTAACCAGTTTCAGTTTTATTCCTTACTTTTTTCATTGACCATGTTGATTATAATAACGTTGGTGTAGTTTATTTTATTTGAAGGTTATTCTTTACAAGCTGTCTAGTAGTCAGTCAGTGTCTTCTGATGGTATCCATTATCCATCAATGATGAAGAGGTGGATCTATGTTCATTATGTAAGGGCTCATACTCATGATGTCAGGGCCTTGACTGTTGCTCTACCAATAAGTCAAGAAGGTCTGTTTGAAAGTTATATTATTTATAATTTTTTTTTGTTATTAATTTTCCAAGATTGTATTAGTGTGTTTGGATGAGCTTTGGGCTAAAAGATATCATTTTTGGAAGATTGGAAGTTCTCATTTTTTAAGAGAGATGAAAACTGTTTTTCTTCTATTTTCAGATCCAAAGGTCAATCTTCAAGCATAACCTAAAATTCTTTTCAACGCAGAGAAACATGTTCATTTGCTATAGAAAAACTTATCCAAATGGGCAGAATCTATATTTTCTATGAAATTGAATGCATTTGCCATCTTCTGTTCCTTAGCCATGTGTTTTTGTGTGGCAGATATTTTGCCAGATGAGAGGAGTAAAAGAGCTCGATGTGAAAAGAAGCCCATTGATTTTAGTTACCATAAGTGGGCCCATTTGGGGGTTCCCATGCTTATCTCGGCAGGAGATGACACAAAACTCTTTGCATACCCTGTGAAGGAATTTACCAAATTTTCTCCTCATGATATCTGTCCTGCGCCTCAAAGAACACCCATTCAACTAGTGCTTGATACTGCCTTTAATCAATCTTCAATACTTTTAGTTCAGTCTTTGCATTGGATAGATGTTCATTTGCTACAACTCAGAAATGTTCGCACACCTGGTGGCTTTGCAAAGACTGAAATACTTGCCCGAGTTAAGAGCAAGGCATCTAGGAAGATAATTTGCAGCACCATTGCTAATTCAGGGGTGCTTTTTGCGTACTCTGATCATGTAAAGCCTAATCTTTTTGAATTGCAAAGGTGTGAAGTTGGAAAAATGACATGGAGTGTTAGTAGAAGGAAGCTTCCACAGAGATTACCATTTGCGCATTCTATGATTTTTACCCATGACTCCTCTTGGTTAATAGTAGCTGGGCATGATAGAAGGATATATGTAAGCTAGAGCATTCTTCATCTCTATTATGATTAAAATTGTGCTTTATATAAAGTATGGTTGCTTTATTTTGTAAGACAATCTCTTTTGCTTGTTTTTGCATGAATCTCTAAACTTACCTAAACTATGGTTATTTTACTCCATATTTTATGATAACCATGCTATGCATCATTTGTTTTTTGCTATTCTAGGCCTTTCTTTGTTGAAAATTTGGTAATTTTTTATACCTGAAGATGGGTTAAATGTCTTTTTTTTTTATGGTGAGCAGTGTTTTTTCTTCACTTTTTCCCTGCAAATGCATAAGCACTTCGTAGTTATTATTATTATTTGCTTGAATTTAATCTTGTCTGAATTCCAAATTGATTTGTATAATTAACTCACGAGTTTCTCTTATGCTGGGTTTGCTTATCAGTTGTTTTCAAAGTGTACTGGTTAAAAATTACAATCTTTGGATTCAAAAGCTGTTTAGTTTACTTTATTGATAATACTCCTTGGAATGCTATAGGTTATCGATGTTGGTAGCTCAGAATTAGTACATACTTTTACACCTTGTCGGGAATTGCAAGATGAAGAATTGCCTCCTACTGAGCCGCCCATAACAAGATTGTTTACTAGTTCTGATCGGCAGTGGTTGGCAGCTGTGAACTGCTTTGGGGATATATATGTATTTAACTTGGAGATACTAAGGTGTTGTTTCTAATTTGCTTAACCTTTTCTTTTTGATTTGGGAAACCTATTACTGTAATTGCTTTGCGCAAATAGCTAGTACATCTGGTTATTGATTAAGAAAATTGAAATGAGAAAACAAAATTTTAGGGAGACACACAAACATGCTCCAAACAATCTTCAGAAAATTCTGATTGAATGTTTGTTGCTTATGTTTGGTTGTTTGCAGTATGATGTCATCTGTTTAGGTAGACAATTTAACTGGTAATACTAAAGGATCCCATGCTATTCTTCATGAATTATTTGGTATTATATTCATATTATGTTATCGTATTTTATAAAATAAACCTGCTTGTGCTACAGGCAGCACTGGTTCATTTCAAGATTAGATGGTGCCTCTGTTACAGCTGGTGGATTTCCACCCCAGAACAACAATGTACTGATAGTTACAACTTCCTCAAATCAAGTGTATGCATTTGATGTAGAGGCCAAGCAATTAGGAGAATGGTCAATGCGGCACACATTTGTTCTTCCTAGAAGATACCAGGAATTTCCTGGTGAAGTTATTGGGCTTTCCTTCCCTCCCTCGGCGACTTCGTCTTCTGTTGTTGTTTACAGCTCCAGGTATAGCTCTGTACTTTTTAAGTTTTTAAATATAAACTAAACATTTTGAATTGGTGATCAAAATTAAGTAAGAAGTACAGGTCGTATGTAAAATAATTTTTTATGTATGAAAAAAATAGCTTATTAATTTGAAATTTATGATTTATTTGTATTTTTAAATTTCTTGTTTTGGAGCTTCATACATATCCCGTATGAAGAATTTCTTGCTGTGTAGTAAGTCTATAATATACATTATTTTAAAAAATTCAAAAGCACGTATATTTTCTTCTACATCTGTTTTGTATCTTTCTGGGTTTCTTAGACTACGAGATAGTAATATCTACATCTTTGGTTTCAAAATTGTGACATGACCCATTCATGACTTGAAATAGAAACTATAAAAATATTAAATTATGTTTTTACTTTTATTTATTTTGAAGTATTTCTCATGTTTGGAAGTTGTTCAATCTTCAGGGCGATGTGCTTGATTGACTTTGGGTTGCCTGTGGAGCAAGATGATAGTGATATGTTAAATACTCAGGATTCAATGGTCAGGAATTTACAAAATTTTAATGTTAAGAAGAGGACTAAACATAGGAAGAACTTTGAAGTTTTACCTTTAGAAAATCCTGTTTTATTTTTAGCCCATATTTCAAAAAATTCCTTCTTTATGATAGACAAACCCTGGTTGCAAGTGGTCAAGAGTTTAGAAGCCGCACCAGTTCACAGACATATATTTGGGACATAAGCATTAAGCAGCTTGAGAGAATTGTTCTCAGCTCAAGGGGGATGCATGATGGGGATAAATGTCCCTTCTTGTTTTTCATTTTGTCTCTCCATGGCTGAGATCTAGAATCTTGTATTGTGTTATCATAATCAATTTTGTTCCATTAGTAATAGCTTTACTTCATTTTTTATTTTTTATTTACACAAAATCTGTACTTTTGTCCAGTCCATCTCCAGTTTGTATTTGTTGCTTGATGTAGTAGAATCTTGATACTTTTAACATAAGATGATTAAGATATAATTAAAATTTCATCTAATAGAAATATAATTGTGTTGTGTAATTAAGGGATCAACCAGGAGGGAATGACTATTGGTTGGGGGATGGATTTCATAAACTCAATTTTTTTGGTATTTTTAATAGTATTCATTTCTGAAATTCTTTTTAATTTGACTTTTTTTTTGTTTTTATCCATAAAATATTATAAATCTTGAAAAAACAATTATAGTCGTTAAATATTATGACTTCAATTGAAAGAGATAATACTGCAACATTACTGAAACTATATGCTCGTAGTAAAGCATTGATAAGTTCATAACACTCAAAAATACATAGAAGAATAACTTTCGTTAAGAACAGTTGCAGCAAGCTCAGATGGATGCATGTTTTCGTCTTGTTTATTATGACACTCCCAATTCCCCCGTCTAAAACCATTCGCATTGCGCAACCAATAGTTAAGAATAAAAGTTGAATTTTAATGTTTTTACCCGTCATCTAGTAACATGCAAGTAAAAAACCGTGTTTGGGAGAATCTGAAACCAGCACTTAAATTTTAATTGCATTTTCTTATTTTGGTAAGAAAACTTGCAAAGCAATGTTTGGATGTTTCTATTCTAAATCTTGCGTCTACCAACGTAGGCAATGAACGTGTGAACACTACGTAATTTCCAATTTCAATCGTCAACCGAAGAGTACAAAATAGAGTAAGAATGACTAGTGAAAGCGGGGGTGTTTGTCCGTTTCCAAATATCTGCGTTATTTTCTAATAGATCCATGCAGTTGGTTGGAGTCTGAGGATATAAAAAACTTAGAATAAAAGATTTTGTTGGATATCCTACCAAAACAAATATTCAATAATTGTACCAAGTGTTATGAATGGATCACATTTCAAGTGGGGTAGCTATCACAAGGAGGTGGGGCTGCTCCGAAAATGAAGCTTGGCGTTTGGTTTCATTTGGATACATTGTCCATTTTGAGTGTCATGCTACTTGGCTTTGCCATATTTACCCACCCAAAGTGGTTGTGAGCTAGGCTGGCAGTGGCTGAACTTAATAAAGTGGGTCACTACTCATCACTAGGCCTTTGGATTTGATATATGCTTCATGGTGGTGAGTGGTGAAGTGACTTTCTTTTTCTGTGTCTCTTCCTATAGGTGGTGAGGGGTGAATTAGTTAATTCAGTTTTGTGTTTATTATTACTGAGAAAAAGGATGAAAACCAACTGAGGAAGAGTTTGTGAATAGTAAGTATCTAATGAAGAAGACCTGAGAGGTCCCAGAGATGCCTGCCACTAATGACAACAAAAGAAAATGGAAGACAGAAACCTTATTCAGTTTCCTATATTCTCTTAGGTTGTTCCCAATAGCATAGGCAGTAGCATAGGAGCAGATTAAAAAAAAGGGTTAAAATTACAACATAAGTGCTTTTCTCTTTTAATATTTTGGAAAAAAGAAAAGAGAAAAGAGAGAGAAAAAAAAAAGAAAAGAAAAGAAAAGAAAAGAAAAGAAAAGAAAAGGAATTCCTTTTGACAGACATTGAGTAGCTTCTCTCCTTTGACATCCTCTGGTCTCTCTTTCCACAGCAATGCAGCAACAGCAGTGACAACAGCAACTGCAAAATCACTCATTTTCCTCCTCCTTCATCAAAACCACCTGATCATGAGACACAACAAATCACTTGTTAGCATATTTAATTTTTTTTTTCTGGGAAACAAAACATAATATATAAGACAAATGGATCTTCACCGTGTTCCTCTGAAGCTAGTTTTCCAGCAAGAGAGCTCTCAAAGAAGCTGAACTGCTTCTTGAATTTTGTCTTTCTCTGCATAGACTAACCAAATTTAGCTCAACACAATGAAAATGTGCAATGCAAGAGGCTGATGCTATCACTCAATGTAATGATATAATAAAAGAATTAACAATAGAACTGGAGCTTTACCTTTATTCTTGTTGCAGACACACACTGAGAAAAATCTGATGCACTCTCCACTGCTCCATTCCCTGAGAAACTGTCTTGCTTCTGTTCAACAACAAAAGAACCAACCCATTAGCATTTTTTTTCTTATTTTTATATTTTTTCTGCTAAGGAGAGAGAAGCTATAGGCACACAGATATTATGTCAATGACATTAACCTTGCGACTCTCCTTAGGACAGTTGAAAACAGGAGAACTGGCAGTGTCATCAAGAGTTGAAGGCTGTTGACTTCTACCAAATTCTTTGACTTTCTTCTTGTTTTGGGAGTCTTTGGTTGTAGAAGAAAAGCAAGGATACCAATTCTCACAATAGTATTCATTATCATAATGTGGAGGTCCAGAAGAAGCATCAGAGACCATGGATAAATCTTCTTCAGACTCGTCCATTCTTGCTCCTTTTCCTTCATAGTCCACAACCCCTCCTCTCCTCTGGAAGCAATTTTCAGAAAGAGATGATTGGTCCAAATAATGGGTCCAACCGGATTCACTAGCACTGCTGTATTGTGAAGTAGCAGATATATCCATTCAACCCTTCTTTCTTATAGTAACGAAGCACCAAGGTTGGTGTTCTTTTATAGATGCTGAATATGTGTGATCAAGTGAAAGATCATAGAGTGGTAGAGGACCTAGACTAACCCCTTGTGCTTCTTATGTAGTTCTTCTCAGCATAAGTAAGAAAAAGGAGTAAAAGGGGAAGGAAAATAAATAAATAAATAAATAATAAACAAAGATAGAGAGAGGAATTGCACTAGAATTCTAAACTGCTTCTGTCCTTTTGCACAATCCTTTCGCCTTCTTATTTTATCTTTATGCGAATGAATCAATATTGCCAGTTGGCCTTGTGAGCGTGTGTGTACTAGAGTGTCTGTTAGTGAATGTGATAAGGGAAGAGATTATGGAAGCATTGCATTGCATTACCATGCTCCCATCAAAAGATAGTGCTGTCCTTTCAGGACAAAAGTTAATCTTAATTTGGCCAAGTCACAACTAATGATACTTTAATGATTAGTTTTCTGTTTCCATTAATGGTCACTGCCCTTGCAAGTTGACTGCACAATAAATGCGGTCTGCTCCCTCTCCTATGGCTTTGCTTATTTTCTTCTCACCTCAAACATTGTGTCTGTTTTGCAACAACCAACAAACTATAGTTATAGTTTCTTCAGTTGTGAATCAACCCTCTTATTTTTATTTTTATTATTATTTTTCTAAAAACTTTGCTAAGCAGATCTGCCTCAAACCAATATTTACCACTTAGTAAAGTTCAATAATTGTGACTAGGGGTTACTTTGGTGTCTTTCCCTTTTTTCTCAGCTGAAATTGGGGAGCTCAGAAAGTACCTACAACTTGACATGCGTTACTAAAAAGTTAAAGGGTGGGTTTTAAAATTTCAAAGCTTTTTTGATGTGTAATTACAACGGTGGAACAAACTCAAGTGATTGTTTAGTTCAGTTTGGTTATTCATTTGACATAAATTACTATATTGAGTAGCTGTTTGTTCTCTCGTACTAAAAGTTCTATAAATGAAAGTCTCCTCATAGAGCTAGACAGACCCACGTTTCATTGAAAGAAACCACTAATGAGCACCTGATTTGAATGTGACACTATTAAGAAGCACTTGCATTTACAATAAAAGACGGCTAGTTATTTAAGTTTTGTATTTTCTTAATGCTTAATTTCTATGGAGCAAGAATTTTTTTTATTTACTTGGCCATGTTTTCCATTTTCTTTTTACCACTTTTTATTCAAACACAAAACGTTACCCATGTGGTATCACTTAATTTCCTGAATAAAGATAATTTGAAAGTTACGCATGAGTCAAATTTAATGCAGAAAGTGAACCACACAAGCCTTGAGAGGACAATGTACAAAAGATAACCATGAGCATGCAAGGAACTGGAGTACAATTCAGATTCAGAAATGCCACATATGTGCAATTTGCTCTTAGTGACAAAAACTCACCTAGTCCAAATGGTAGAAAATCCATATAGTACTTACGACACATGTAGGCCCCATTACTCCCTTTCTATACCTGTGATTGTAGAGGGGAAAATATTGTCACATTTGGGTAACATTAGGCTTGGAATCTCATATCTATCTAGCTTATTGTACTATGCAATGTGCAAACACATTGAACAGTGAAGATCAATTCGTCGGTTGACATGGGAAACGTGATAATTTCAATAAATCATGCTTTCCTAGATTGGTTTCATGCCCATTTACTATTTAGAAATCATCAATTAAGGATAGTCACTGACCCTACCACATTTCAAGAAGCTGGTGAATCTCTATATCAATTTTTATTTTTGGTTGTGTCAATTGACAATGAAATGTGACTTTATGTAAAGATCATAGGGCCACTTTATGATTCTGGTCTGACTCCAATTGGTCCCGCCCTTTTAATACAATGTGTCCCTTTGCAGATTTCTAATGCATTCTGCTCTGTTAAGCACTTTGGTTATTCATCTCAATCATGTCTACCTGTACACCTTTCAAGCCTAAACCATTTTAATTACCAAACAACTATTTCTCAACACATCTTAATTACGACCCTATGGATTATAATGACATCCACACAATCTTACTTTAACTGCACATTTCAATACTTTTTCTATCTTCACTGAATTTGCTACATCTTATGCTTATCTATTGGTTTAAACATATTTTTAAATTTTTCTCTATTTTTTTTTCGTTTCTTGAAATCATTATAAAGTAAGAGATTAAATTAAAAATAAATATAATATATAACGACTAAAAACATTAACGTTTTATCTTTATATTTAACGTATAATTTTATCATAACTCCACCAAAGTATTATAATATTGACAAAGTTAAAACCAAATCCAAAATGGTTGTACAAGATCATATTAAAAACATATTTTGTGTAGGCATATTAAAAATGAGCTTAAATATGTTTTTATTGTATATAAATATGATCTGCTTTGATTTGTTTTTATTTTTCATAAATTTTAAAATAATTTATTATTATTATTATTATTATTATTATTATTATTATTATTATAATTATAACATGCATTTAGTGTTATAATATAATTTAAATTAGGAAGTGATATATGATGTGATACAATAAAATAATATATCATGTTATTGATAAACGATCTAAAAATTGACAAAACTAATAATTCTTTAAAAATTTAAATTAAATATATAATAATAATAATTTTTTTATATAAACGAGTGTACCACAAAAATACCAATACACACTAAATTTGTTCAAAGGAAAAATGTAAGAACATTTGAAAGTACAATATTTATTAAATAAGTTTTTTCATATACAAATTTATTCTATAAATTTTATCATAAATTTTCTTATAAAAAATAAAATTTTAATAAATTATACTAAAATATTTCTTAAAATAAATTTTTATATGTTCGTTCCAAATTAAAAAAAAAATCTTATGATTACATCCAAAAATAACTTCTGGAAGGTCTCATCTTCAATCTGAAAATAATGTGACTGATACAATGGTAAAGGATGAGACTAATGAAAAGACACAAACCAATCAAGTCTCACCAACGTAGATGAGCAGTTCAAATCATGATTTATGACTAATATGATACATCTACTACTACACTATCAATTAAAATAAAACAAATTTGAAAAGAAAGAAAAAGAAACTAAAATAATACTCATAAAAGAGTCTCTCACAGACCTTTTTCATTTGTTATAATGCAACTAGCATATTCTATCCCTGTATCAGTATGGGTTTTTTCCAGCAACACAAAGCTTTGCAACTATGGTCCCCTTTCAGATGGCAAAGTCAAAGATTGCTTATTGCAACAATGCCAACCCACCGACTGGAAATTCAAAGTCTTGCAGGCGATTCCCCTTCCCTTTTCTACTATTAACTTTCTTTCTCTTTCACACCCCATCATGTACTAATCGCACAGGATCAAAGTCAAATCTTCAGCTTCAATTTCTATCAATCTATACAAAAAGGGTCATAATGTGGTGTTGGATGGTTATGAATTCTACATTCTATGCATGGCCTAAAATGAATAGGTCTAAATGCAGATAATTATCTCAATTATTATTTATTATTTGGACTAGTATACTAATGAATGAGAGCTATATCATCAACCATGAAGCATGGAATTCTAGTGTTCAGAATCATGAGTGAGAGAGTGACCAGTGTGAAGACACTGACATAATTTAAAAGTTAAAACTCACTTGTTCTTTGTCTTCTCAAAAAATCAAAAAAAGAGTTGAGTCAATATGAATTCTGAAGCTTCACAGTGATCATGGTAAAATGCCGACCAACCCTCAAGAGGTAAACTTGCACATGTACTTACTTGTCAGCACCAGGACCACAAACCAACCTAATGATGCAAATGATTTTAAAGTACATATAAATTGTAATTAACAGTGATATTTACAGTTTTACACACTATTTTCATTATATAATTTTCAAATTAATTTCCTTTTTGATAAAAACAAAAAACTATAGAATCATTCATTCCAGCATACTGTATTTTTTTCCCCTAAGCAATAAGGTGTTATGAGAAATGATGTGATAAGGAGTATATGTAAGAAATATTTTTCCAAGAAGCAATGAATTTGGCCTTTTAACTTCATCACCGTACTTTCTTTCCCTCTGATTTTAACTTTCTGAGAGGTCAGCTTTGAATTTTGTTTGTCTTTTGTGAAGGATTTTACCTGACTAACCTCGAGTCCTAATTCCACTGTCCTTTTGAAATGCTGTTTGTTTCACAACATTTAATTCACGTATAATCTTCACTGCCAATGGAATTGAGAATTCTCATGATATTAGATCTGGTCTTCTTAAGATAAATTTTTATTTAATTTGAAAACTGCATACCAATTAAGACATAATATAACGAATGATATATTAAATTAAACAAATAATTAACGTCATGTCAGACTCTGATCCTTTCTATTTTCTATTTTTTATTTTGGTGTAAACTCTAAGTAATGATGACTACTATTGTCAAATGTAGCTTATATGTTAAGCTATTATATCAAGTTAAGGTGATAAATTAATTAAGATAATAATAAATACCTTGTTATTATTGTCCCTTCATACCACAAAATCTTATATTAATGAGTAACTTTGTTTTGATGTTGTTCCAAATCAATTGAACATCTTTCAAGCCAAATAATTTGATTTTGTTGTTGCTTTAAGTTCAGAAGAACTTGTCGGGGCTAATGGAACTAAATGACACTTCACATAAATTTCTTATGTATTTTGCTGTTGGAGATTAATATATTATCCAGTTGATTCTTACACGAGGCTTCAACCCTTTTGTGCCATAGGGTTGACTCATTACTTATACAAGACACAACGTTTCCATTGTTAGGATGTTGTGAAAAGATGTTTGAGAACCAAATTTCATTTGGAAAGGTGGAAAAAAGAAGAAGTTAAATATAGGGAAATGATGGGTAATATTAATAACATGTTCAATTGTTTGAATTGCATGTCTAAATTACATCTTACAGTGAAATGAAATATGATGAAACTAATTTCATCCCAAACACCTATTTGTCTTTCTTTGCAATATATGCGATGAAATTACCATATGAAATTATGAGTTTATTTTTATTTCATTCTGTTTACTATTAGATATTTAAACAACTTTGCAAGTGTGACCTGATCCTTAAAATCAAGCTATAGTTATTTTATTACATTTTTCTAAGACTAACATATTATGATTTGAGTTTAAACATGATTGAATGTTGATTCAATTTACAATAAATTAACAGTGAATAAAAATACGTCATATCATTAATAAATAATTACACAGTTTATACTTCTAAAAAAAATAATTTTATTTATTAATAATAATTTTAAAATGTTTTTATTCCTTTTAAATTGACCTAATATTATAATTTTATTAAAAAATTTATATAAATGTTAAATTATAAAATTAAATAAGTATATTATTATTTATTTAAATTATTAGTTTCTTTTATTAAAGATAATCTTATTTAAGTCAGATATAATAATCATGAGTGACAAATTTATTTTTTTCTAAATTCTTTACTAAAACTTAAATTTAAGACTAAAAATGATATTATATTTAAAAAATCAAAATAAAACTTTAATCTTATATGTAATATTTTTTATTTTTATTTTCCTTTACATGTCTTTTACACATTTTTTCCCTGTGAATTCCTCTTCAAATGCAAGGATGCATTAACCTCTGCCATCTAAGCTCCATCATGCCCTTGCTTTTGATTAATTGCAACTACATATCAACTATGTTACCTATGCTTCTTGCATAAATTTTCTAAGATGAATGAAATCAGTTTAGATCAGTGTCTAAACTTGCTGGTCTTTCTTTTATTTGCTGTCGTTTCTAACTCGTATCATGTTCTGAATAAATAATTATTTAATTTGATGTAATCGTTAATGTGAAACTTTTCAATCCTGTCATTCAATCTTGCATATACATTATGCAATAAGTTTGAATATATATGTTTCAACATGAGATGTCAAATTCATTAAATGATATCATTAATAAATATAAAAACATTTTTACTATATATATATATATATATATATATATATATATTATTTAAGATCCTTTATGACACAAATCATTTACTTAGCTTAGAAAGTGCAATAATAATAAAATATTTATAAATAAGTAAGTCATTTAAAGTCAAATTTTAAATGTAAAAAAACGAATAAATAATATAAAATTAAAAACATAAAATTGATTATTTTACAGAAAAATAAAATAAGACTAATTTTCCACTCTAAATTAAATTACAATTTCAACATAAATTGATTGATACTCAAAAATTAACTTTTAAAACTCAATAAAAATAAATAAAATAAAACTTTCAAAAGAAAATGAAGTATCAAATGACTATTTTGTTTTAAAAAATATTATTTAATAAATTATTCAGTGATTCATGTGCTTTAATTATTGATGTAAGTTTATTAATTTGTTATTTAAAATTTTCTTTATCATATTTATTTTCTTTCATTATATTGGTAATGTATTTTAATTTGATTTATAATTTATTTTTATAAAATTATATTAGATATTTATTATATTTTAGTTTGTCTTTAAACATGTAAAAGATAATTTAAAATATCATCTAAAAATCAATTCATCATTTATGTTTTTAGTAGATTTTTATTTTATTAAAAAATAAATAGTTAGGTCTTGTGACACTATAAATATAATATAATATAATAATAATAACATGTCTATAACATTAATTTTAAGGAAAGAAAATCAATATCACTTAGTAATAATATATTTGAGTATTTATATATTTAATTATTAAATATTTTTAAATAATTTTTATAAAAAATATTAATTTAAAATAAATTATAATAGTGATAAATAAAATAATAATTATTTCAGAATAACAGTGATTAATAAATTATTATGATTATTATTTATATTTGTGATAATTTATTGTAGTGACTACAAAATAGTCACTAATTTATTAATGACTTAAGTATTCAGGTGACTAATTTAAATATCATCACAAATTACTTCAACAATGAATTTAATATATTTAATGACAAATTTTATAATCATAATAAATATGATTTCCTGCAGTGAAATTATCATGTAATTGACTAGGAAAAAGGTTACATCATTTGGACAATGAAATTGTAAGCACGAAAACATGGCTTCATAGGGTTATAAATTAGGTGAATACATGAATTATAAGAGAGAGAAGCAACAGCAACACAACGAAGAACACGAACTGCATCTGATTCAGAAAGGAAAGCGGAAATCCAGTTACCACTGACCATGTTTTCCGGATGATATTTTGTTACCAATGCTCAATGTCTCATACATAGTTACAGGTCACCAACCTTAAGGCCACAAAAAACACCCTTTTGATCATGTCACTATAATCCCCAGTTATCACCTGCTAACGACACTTCCTTCTTAATTCACATCAATAATTCAAACAAACACCTCATATTTATGTGGTCAGAGTTGTATGCTCGAATGTGTCTACCACACAAGTAATGTCTGCTACATTTCTTATAACGTTAAAATTATGAGGAGTCATTTATTTTTAACAGATAAAATAAATAAATTTGGTCATTTCCATTTTTCGTATTATTTAAAGATGAGGTAACTATTTAAAAAATAAAAATAAAGTCGCATTATTTTAAGAGAACTAAAAATTTGACATCATGACTCCAGTCAACTATATGTTTCTCTTTTCATTAATCATCTCTTTGCTTTTTAAGTTTCACAGATGAATGAGATTGTAGGAAGAAATGGGTGTCAAAGGAACTATTTTCTTATTTTAAACACATAATTTTCGAAAATCATTCTTTCTGAGGAAAACAAAATTAATCAAACATTTTTACATGATATAAATTGAATTGAGTAGTAATTAAATGGCCTTATAATTTATTATTCTATTAATGGCTAAAAAGATATTATATATCTAAACTGAAAGTTAGGAGAGTTGAACAAATTCGTCAAGTTAATCATAAAAAATCGTATGAGTTACTAGGACTAACTAATTAATCAAAGAAAAATTAATCCATTAGTTTCAAAAGTGTCACAGTGAAACCATGTTACAATATGAAATTAGAAAGAAAAATGTTGACAATTTAATAGAAAAAGGCGATGAAATAAAACAAAGGTCAATAATATATATAGCAAAATAAAAGGTTCTATCTTAAACGGCTGGGAAAAGCTCATCGAGCCTGTATGGTAAAGAGTAGAATTCATTATTCCTAACATCTGCATTGTACAAGCTAAACCTCTCCCACCATTGCAAGCCACTGTCTTTTCGGGCTGCATCATTCTCACGATGTAGTGTTATATCCAAAATGAAAGCAATCATTGCAGCAACTGTTGTGTGGGACATGAAGATAACAGTAACTACATCATTGAACTGCACACTCATTGAAATGAAATGAATAATCAATCACTAATGAAATGGAAAGTATAATAGTACAATACATGACTTCTATGAAATTTCAATGATGGGTTTTTGTTAAGGTTTCTTAATCTTACCCATCTAGGACCTGCATGATCCTTCTTTACATGATAATATTCTGAGAAATATTGTGGTATGGAGATGCCTAAGAAGAATGAGAAGCCCAACACGAATTTGGTTCTGAAATTGTTGAGGTTACAGAACTGGAGAAAGCCAAGACCCGCTGAAGCTACATATTACAAATTATCAATTGTTTGGTTCTACATGGAGACACTATCACAATACCACAAAGACAAGTAATTAGAGATAACTTACATGCATAGCCAAATAATACACAATATAGTGCAGCTATGATTGGCATAGGCACTGAAGCAAAAAATGCTCCAAATTTGCCTGATTGAAGGGAAAATAATAATGTGCAACATGAGGTATCATCAGTGAACAAAGAGGACAGAAAACTATGGGAAGCATAAGAAAGTCAATTCTGGATTTATTAGAAAATGAAAAGAAAAGAAAAACAATAGTTCATGACAATAGTTCCTAATACAATAATAAACTAGACAGAATAATAGACTACCAATTCCAAAAAGACTATGAAATTATTAGTATAGATCATATTGGTCTACAGTACCAAATAAAGAGAAGAAAATCATAAAGCCAGCTGATATTTGGATGACTCTGCGGCTTCCTACTCTTGTCAATGCCAGCAAACCAGCATTTTCCCTGAAATAAGAACAAATCATGATCAGAAAAATACAGACGAAAGAGCGGCCCAAAGCAAAATAGATTGTGTATGTAAACCAACTATGAAAATGAGACCTCATGCAACAGAATAGGCACCTCTAGGAACTAAGCACTAGGAAATTTAAATTGGTAGAATGGATGAGCCAGAGCATTTGTCAAGATACAAGCAAACATCCAAAGAAAAATCACTTACAAACAGGGCATTAGGCAATACTTACACTGATGCTGTGCTTCCACTTACAGATCCAAACATGCCATTGAGCAAAGCACTAACTCCCTAAAATCACAATAAGAATGGCACAAATGAAATTGTGTCACAAGTTTTATGAACAAAAGTCAAGGGAGAATTGCAAAATTTAGTGAATCCTACCACCCAGCCAGCTCCACGACTGATAACAGATGGTGGCACTGGTGTGGCACTTCCATACCTTGCTGCAGCATAAGCTGTACCAGTATACTGCTCATAAATATAAATATAAGAAAAATGTAAATTTCAAGGCAAACAAATGATGAAGAGAAGATGAATATTTAAATGATTTTTCAGTTTTACATTGCTTTTACTTAGAGTACCTAGTGACTAATTAGTGCAGTTGCATTAACTAAAAGACAAGGGATTCTATAAGGGGTATAGTGTCTACCTCAAAAAGAGAAACAAAAGAAGCAGCTATCATGGCAAAAGCTTCCCCAGCATTGAAAGTAGGACTCCCCCATTGGAAGGGAAAAGGAAAATACACCCTGCATAGATTAAAATATCTTTAACAAATTGGAAGTTAGCAAAAAAACTTAAATCCCAATCCCTCAAGGCCTAAACATTTGTAGAACTAACTAAAAAGGCCAAAACCGTTACGTGTCTTATTAGGTATGTTACATGACTAAAATTGTTTTAATAAGTTTTAATCTCAGCTATACATTTTAATTATTAAAAAGAATAAATGAGATTGAAAAGAGATGCGAGTAAAGGTCACTAAATGCACCATTGAGAAGTATAGATGGCATGACATTTATTCAGGTGAAAAGGGATAACAAGAGAAAATGTAGAAGAACTTTAGAATAAATTGAAAAGGGATAACATGAGCGGTTAGAGGAGTTAATCTTACCCTTTACAACTATATACGGATTACCTAAATTGTTTTGATATATAACTCCACTTATCTTTGCACTATTAATTTTACCTCTGGATTTTGCTCCAAGGGAAAATAATCTCTGGATTTGTACAGTGTCAAGCAACAACTTCTTTACATAAATACACGCGCAACCTAATGACTCTACAAATTTGTGTCTCCTTCTATCTCCAGAATTGTTGTTCGTGTAGCATTTCTTAAAGCATTTAAACAATTGATCATTAATCAAGAAAACCAGTGTTACTTGATCTTACCATGGTGAGGCACTAATAAGTCCAGAACGATCAGTGCGGCAACTAATCTGTGTACTTTCTGGCTTGTGGTTATATACAGTGCATGAAGTTAGAAGCTGTGCATATAACCATGCAATTGCAACTGTAAACAACACTGCAAATCGATCATGTATAGGCTTCTGGGTGCTAATATAACGATTGAGATACTGCAGAAGCATAGAACAAAATTAAATACTTGGACCAAAGTTAAAGAAAAATATTAATGGATTTTAAATTCTTAATGTTCTGTTTTAAATTTTCTAACTTCTTTTTATAATTTGTCATTATTGCTCAATAACTCTGCTGGTGTACTTTATTTCAGCCGCAGCTCATAGTAACTTCTCCAAATGCATAGGCCTGTGCCCAGCACTTGCACCTGACTGTTTCTATTGGGAAAGGGAAATTCTATTTGTAAGTAAATTTTGTACCTAAAAAAATTGTTGATCTTGCTAACCAGTATCCTCAGAGTATTAGTCAAGGAATCAATAAATAGTAACTTTTTATTGAAAAATGTATTGAAATGCATTAGAAAACATGAGTGACTGAATTCTTACATTTTCTAACAAAATATTTCTATTTTTAGTTATCTTACCAGGGTCTTATTATTTTCCTTTAAAGAAATAGAGAGATAAATAGAAGTTTTGTATAAATTGATCGTATGAATATTATAACCAGTTAGGAAATTATTACAATTTTTTTAAGGTGTTGACCCTTAAGGACAAAAAGAATAAAGAAAACAGAAACAACTATTGCAAGACTAACTACTTGCCTGTGAGATGAAAACAAAAACAATTAGTGCCGGAAGTCCAACTTCAACACATTTTGCTAGCTGCAACATTGATTGGAAAATAGCAAATACACGGGGGAAAAGAAATAAATATAAATCTATTGTCAATTGAAACTCATAGACAGCTAATTGCATGCAACATATAAAACAAGAAATCTCAAATACCATTGGGAAACCAAGATGATAGAGGCTGAGTCCAGTGAAAGTTACAAATGGGACTACACAAATTGGGCTTAGGAACCTGAGAAAGAAGCAATTAAGAACTAAGATAAAATATATATAAAGAAGTTGATCAGCTTCTGTAACCAGCCAAGAAAATCACACTTCCTAACCTAACAGCATTCCTCCAAAACCCAAAAAATCCAATAGCCATTTGGAAACACGAACTAATGATCAAGGCACCTTGAATCCCTCTCATTGTCTGAGTAAACCTCTGGAAAATCAAACACATGGGCCAAGTCAGCAAATCATTAACAGAAAATAAAACATTCATAAAATGTAGAGGAAAAATGAACAGCAAAAATAGTATCATTCACCTCATAAGTATCTGTAATGGAAGCATATCTGCTAGCCTGGATAATTGAAATTATGGGTATCACATAAGTGTATGAACCAACAACTACAATTGGCAACCGGGTTCCAAACCAAGATTGGAGTAATGTGCTTAATCCAGAAACAAACAGAAGGGTCTGAATCACCCTACCCTTCTCTGCCTACATTTAATCAAAGGATTTAGATTCAATAATAGCACTAAAAGAAATTTAAAGGCAAACAAAATTCAAAAAGTACTTACATCTCCTCCACCCATTTGAGGAACAATTATAGTTGGAATCAGAACAGTAATTCCAAGAGTCAGAAGGTAATGCTGAAACCCCAACACCACTGCTTCCCCTGCCTTATGATGAAAAACTCAAATCATATAGTCTATCAATAACATTTTAATGAATTTCTTGTTACTCTCTATTTTTAGTATTGAAATGTCATAAAACATATCTTCATTTCATAAAAAAAAAAACATTTTCCATACTAAAACGTTACATTTCTAAATTTTCTGACCATATCATAAACATATCATTAATTATTATAAGTAAAAAATAATGTACGAACGCCATGGCGGAGGACTGTTAATGCAATATTGAACTCCAGGTAATTGCTCTTTCACAGGGTGTGGCTGCACCTCCTCCATTTTTTTGGTGCCACCAGCATTCTTGTTAGTGCCACCACCAGCATTGTTCTCAGTGGCACCACCTGCATTGTTGCTAGCACCATCATTTTGAGCCATCTACTGCAAGCACCAGTGGAAGAAAAGGTTGATCTTTTACAAAAATGACTATTCAAGTTTTCAATTTAAAAGAAAAATTTGTGAATTTAAATTATGAATATTAGTGGTTAAATGATCAAATAATTAAAGATTGAATTCATCAGTTACAAAAATTGGAATTATGCAACATTATTTACATTAATCATCTAAAACGGTCTAATGTATTAATTATCATGATAATCATTGTTGAAAATTTCAAAGCCGTCACCACTAGATGTATATTATATACGTCCATTAAGATACTGCAGAAGAACCATGGAAGAATCCTAGTGGCTAAACAACACACTGCTAAAAAGCTTATTAAGAAAATGTGGATTAAAAAATATATTTAAATTTCGTTATTAAAATTGACTGAGTATGGTCCTCTTTTTTATTTTACAAAGTTAATTTTAGGTTAAAATGAATTTAAATTAAGGTAATTTTAGTTTTATTTTTTAAAATAAATAAATTTACAGTAAAAAAGTATATAACTATTAACTTAACGCAATAATTATAATCTGTTTTCGCTTTTAGGAGCAAAGTTTTTGGTTAAAAATAATAAAATATAATTTTCTTTTACAAAATTACCTTGTCATTCATTCAACAAGGATTTGAGGTTGTTAGGAATTTCAAAAAGAAAATACTAAAATGAAAAATATTTTATGGATGATGTGAGAGACATAGGCACAAAATGTTTATTGAATATCAAAGATGGCTTTGAAAAGATGAAAATAGCTAGTATTGAAAAAGTTTCTCTAAAACTTCAATTTTTGAATTTTTTATCAATTAAAATATACTATAAATAGAATGACTCAACTCTTAATAAATAGCAATTGATCGACGCTTTTTTTGTTGGTACACAAATTTTTAAAGGGAATAAAATGGTACTTTTATCTAAAGTAAGAAAGCCCCAAATTTGAAAAGCATATATGAAGAACTTTTATTTACTACATTCTAAAAGAAAATAATAAAATCATGTTTTATTTTCTTTTTAAAAACAAAAAAACTATTTTTAAAAAAGAAAACAAACTATCTTAAGAATTTGAACTTATAACTTCTTAAATATAATAATGACAAAAGTCTTGAAACTATATAAACGAGATTATTTAAGAAGGCCATTACATTTAACAGATCAAATGAACGAATTTACAATTAAGTGTGAGCATTATATGAATAGTGAATATTTTGTATTTGTATGTAATCTTTCAATTGTTTATATGAAATATTTAAGTTAATAGGATGATTCACGTCTTCGAATGCGTTTTTATGTTTTAATTAAGTGCTATTTTTTTAAGTATATTTTCATTCTCAGCACTTAAAAAATTATTTTTCAATGGGAATATGAAAATATAAATTCAAATAAAGATATATTATTCGTACCATCTCACATCACTAAAATCTAAATATGCAATTAGTTTTTTGATATATTTTTTCGATAAATTATGTCTCCTTTTATGTTTAAAAAGAAATATGCTAACTCTTGTTTTTTCATAGACAAACCCTCAAAGTCATTCAAAATTTTACTTAGTAGACATCTGCCTTATGTCTGTGAGGATTCTTGGAGGAGAAAGGTATTTTTAACTTTTAAATTAAGAGATTTATATATTATTTATAATGATAAATATATAATTAATATATTCAATTTATGTTAATATATTAATTTATATTTTTTTATGTTAAAAGTGTTAATTTTAAATATAACTATTTTAAATTAAAAAATTATATATTTTTTTCAAAACTCTTCTTTCCAAACATTTTAAAAGTTCTTTCGATGCTTACTAACTAATTGAACAACTCTCATGAAATAAAATGGCTTGTTATTTAAATTTATGTAATAATTTTATCTTGAATTTATACTAATCTCCGCAAATGATACTCAATGCGTGTCATCTCCTTTTTATTATTTTTAATTTATAAAAAAAATGGTTTTATAATAATAGTTGACTAGATATTTGTCACAAAAAATATATTCAAAAATTTATTCCATAATTTATGCCAACGACATGTCTCAAAATAAGTATTTAAAGCATGAGCTTAATTTGAGATAAAAAAATATTTAAATTATTTATTTAAAAAATTCATATTTAAAATTAAATTTTAATTTATTAACCATTTTAAAATTTAAATTTGACTCATTAGTTTATTCATAATTTTTTTTTATAAATTTAAAATAATTTTTTTATTATTTTAGAATTTAATGAATAATTTTTCAAAAAATAAATATAATATTTTCGTCATTATCTTATTTTCAAACTTAATTCATTTTGATATAAATAAAATTATATTTTATTTCAATTTTTAATGTAAATTTTTTTAAATATAACAAAAATCACAACTAAGCCATGTAACAATGAGTAAGAGTAAGCTAGTTAGGTAGATCATACAAAGTCATTTGACTCAATTAAAACTTAAATTATAAAAAAATATTATTTATTATTAAATTTTTAAATATTTTATTTATTTATTTTGTAATAAAAATAAATTTAAAATACTAATAAAATATAACTTTATTTATATAAAAAAATAAAAAAAATTATTGTAAAAATAATATATAATCACTTGTTTAAAATATAAATTTTATTTTCACGTAAATCGAAGATATTCGGATACTATTTTGGAAAAGACTTCAAATAAGAGGGCAAATTATGTGAATAATTCAAGCTCTCGTGACCCAACTTGAATTGAGCTAGCTTTGCTTTATTTAGTTTTTAAAAAGTTTTGACTTATTTGAACGTTACATTTAATAACCCAAATCTTATATTTTGACAAATATATTGATAAAATAATACAAAATTTATATATTTTCAACTTTGTTAATGACATGAAAAGAACATATTAACATTTTATCCGCAATGTAAATAATTTTATTTTATTTTTCAAGGGTGTGCCTGGTTATGTTACATAGAGGCTACATCTAAATAATTTAGATTATTTTGTACATCAATGGTGCCATATCTAATTTTTGTAGAGTAATTTTGATGTTCTATGTACTTCATTTTTTTTCTCTATTTATATTTGTTTCATTGTTCATTTTATCTCATTTTTTCTCTTAATTTTATCTTTTTCTTAATTTAAATTTTTGTTACCAAAAATGAGTTTTGAGAGTCGATACCCTTTTCTTCCAATCAAAGACATGAGACAAAGAGATTTCAGTTTCACGTAAAAGTATAACGTAGAACATGATTGTTAATTAGTAGTCAGGAGATTAAGCATCGTACAGTTCTCCTATAATAGATAATTCTTAATTTAATTTTAATATTAACAATTCAATGGAAGTAAAAGTTGATCTTCTAATAAAAATGACGGTTCAACTTTTCTATTTAAAAGAAAAAATTGTGAATTTAATATTAATTATTATGAATGTTAGTAGTTAAATGACCTAATGATTAAAGATTGGGTATTGAAATTATGCACCATTATTTTCATTAATCACCTAAAACGGTCTAATGCATTGATTATCACCATATTCATTTTGGAAAAATTTCAATCTTGCACTACTTCAAGGATATATTTAGGTATTATAAATAGTATATATTAACAAAGATTAGTCTGAACAACAAGCGATTCAATATTATTTAAACGAAAGAAGTTATTTAAAAGAGTTTGACTTTTTTATAATAATTGTCAGACTATGAATTTGTTATATATTTTTTTATGTGTATTTGTGTAAATTTTTATAAATTTAATTGTAGATCTTTTTGTTTTTATAAAATTAATTTTGATAAAAATAAATTTAAGTAGAGTAATTTTAGTTTAGATTTTAATTTTAAAAATAAACTTACAGCAAAATAATATATAACTATCAACCTAACATAAATATTATAAATTTCTTTTTTAGTCTTTAGTGCAACTTTTTTGTTAAAGTTATAACATTTTTTCTTACAAAATTACTTTACCATTCATTAATGTCACACATTCTTAATTATTTATTAAAACTTATGAAAATTATGAGTTTTATTTATAATTTAATGAGTTTTGTTCATATTTTTATAATTTTTAATAAATATTAGTCAATAACTAATTATATATTAAAAAACATATTCTCGGCACTCCTTAATAGAATTTTGATGGTGTTGAGATAGAAATTACAATTTTAAATAATAAATAAAAAAAATATAAAAAATATTATTATAAAGCAATTTTAATAGTATAAAAGAAGTGTACGACATTGATATATATATATATATAAGTATAACTTTTTTTAAAAAAATTATCAATTAAAAAAGGCTATAAGTATAAAATAAATCAAACATTAATAGTTTTCAAATGGTTAATATTTATTTTATGACATATATTTTAGGAAGGATGGTTGATGCTTCAATTTAAAATAGAAAACATATTCAAACTTGAAAAATACTTTAAAAAATTGGCATGTACCTCGTTTTAATTTAAACTTACTTATGATTTGTTAAATACGAATAGTAATAAAGGTCTTTGCACTATATATACTCTTAAGAGTATTTGGTGTCAAATGACCAAATTTACAAAATAAAGTGTGAATATATCACGAATAATAAATATTTAATATTTGTAAATATTTAACCATTCAATATATTATATGAAATATTAAAGTTAATAGGATGATGCACATCTTGGAGAGTGTGTTTCGTTTTCTTACGAGTGTTTCGTCTTTTTAATTATATTTTGTATATTTTTATTCTCAATATTTATTTAGTAATCTTTTCTTATAGAGATATGAAAATATAAATTTAAAAAAATATTAATATTTATATAAAATATTTAAGTTGATAGGATGATATGCCATCTTAGGTGTATTTTTTTTATGAAGAGTGTATTTTATTTTTAAATTATATTTTGTATATTTATATTTTAAATACTTATGGGGTGATCTATTGTGAAGATTTTGATACTAATTTATTTATTTTCTCAAATAATCTTTGATT